TGAGATGCACCTGCTCATCGTGATCTTTTTAACAGACTAACTTATATGTTGATATAGAGCATTAGCATTCAGCCATCCTTGATGGGTTATATCTCCAAGGGCATCGCCCACTGTGGAAAACGACAGTTTGAAGACGCGATTGAAAGCATTTGACCTGGCGTCCATGCACGTGGACGCAGACTTGAATAAAACTCGTCTTCTACTCTTGATCAAGGTACGTCAATTGTGTATCATGTACTCACCACTCACACAACAGCTGTCAGGCTATCGCCCTTTTCAATGCAGATCGACATGACGAGGCAATTCTGCGCGTCCAAGAGCTAGCTACCACTCGTCCCAATCCGAATTCTCTTGCCTGTGGCATCGTGGAAGTGAGTGCCCCTGACACAGTCAGCTCCAGATTCGGGCGTCGTCGATACTGATTTTGCGAACATCGCACTTCAGGCTTATCTACACGTCCAAGTGGGAATGAATGCATTAGACGACGCACATCACAACGAAGCTGTTGGCCACTTCGCTGCTGCTGTCGACACTATCAGTTTCTCGTCTATGTCGGCTATCCATTCTAAATATGATATCTTTGTGGTGGTGCGTTGATTGCGATGCAACTGAAAATCATTTTTTCACGCTCGACTGCTTTTTCTAGTTATTCGGGTGGGACCTCAAGTCCTTGTGGCGAACTGCACACCAAAATTGGTGCCATGCGCTCCTTCAGGCAGGTAGATTTCCAGAAGCCATGCAAGCATACCGATATATGATGGATAAGGCTGATGAGGCTACGAAAGCACGCTGCCTTGATTGGTCTACTGGCAAGTCTTCATGATGTCAACCGGGTATAATTCTCAACCCCATTTCACTTAGCTTTCAAGCAAGATTGCAGCATGCACTATACTGCCACCGGAGTGACTGATCTCGCTGCGAGTGGAGATGCTGCCCTCGCTGCGAGTAATTACGACAGGGCTATCGAGCTTTACTCTGCGGCAATCGACTTCGATTTGGCAACAGATGTTGTCTTTGCGAACCGCAGCAAGGCGCGGTCGGAAAAAAATGTTATGGGACGATGCACTGCTCGACGCTGAAAAGGTGCGATGACAGTTACCGTTTCGTCTTCAACGCTCATTTTGGTGATACGCAGGTCATCGAACTCAACCCCTCATCTTACTTTGGATATGAGTTGAAGCATGCGGCACTTCACGGCGCCCATCGGTACGATGAAGCCATCGAGGCGTTCAAAATCATGCTCTCCAAGTTGGAAAATGCTCCCGACACGGATACAGAAAGTACGCCCCAAATAGCAGGTCTTGAAGTATTGTTGACTCTATGTACAGACTTGCATCAACAGTATGTTAGTCCATCCGAAGCAGAACGAGCCATTGAAGAGACCATCAAGGCTCAACTCGACGACGTCCCGCATCGTCTAATCAATACCTTTACTGGGCGCTTATGTAATCGCGAGGCACAGATCAATGCCTTCAAAACGAGCGCAGAGTACAAAGAACTTTTGTCATCCACGATAAAGCATGGGGACCTTCAAATGGAGCGCATCAAAGACGTGGTGGCGATGTACTTCCGTTATGTCATGTTATCGCATAGGTGGGAAGGGAAGGAGCCGTTGCTGCATAACATCCAAGGCGAGGTGGTGTACGACTTGGATCCAGTCGGTGGCATCCCGAAGTTGCAGTCATTCTGTAAAACTGCTTGTGATATGGGGTATCGCTGGGCATGGATTGATACCTGTTGCATCGACCAGACTAACAACGTCGAGATCCAGCAATCGGTCAACTCCATGTTTATCTGGTATCGCCACTCAGCGCTTACCATCATTTACCTGTCGGATGTTCCACCTTCGTCGCAGCCTGGCGCACTCGCAAGTAGCGCTTGGAACACGCGAGGATGGACAGTTCAAGAATTCCTCGCCCCAAAATTTGTCCTATTTTTTCAGAGGGATTGGTCCCTATATCTCGGTGATCGCTCTCTCAACCACAAGGATTCCATTGCAATCATGCAGGAGATGGGAGATGCGACGGGCATAGATTCACATGCCCTTGTCGCCTTCCGTCCGGGGATGAGAGACGCGCGGGAGAAACTCCAATGGGTGTCGGCGCGTGTCACCACGTGGCCTGAAGATATTGCATACTCATTGTTTGGTATCTTCGGCATCAGACTTGCTGTCATTTATGGCGAGAAGAAGCAAAACGCCCTTGGGAGGCTCTTGCAGGAGGTCGTAGCTCGGTCCGGGGATATCAGTGCCTTGAACTGGGTGGGGAGATCATCCGAATTCAATAGTTGTCTGCCGGACGATATTGCTTCATACAAAGCCCCACCATACACCGTACCATCTCTGTCCGAAGATGACATCCAGACGTCAATCTCCTTGCTCCGACATGCCATGGCTGTAGATTTGGTCCTGAAAATCTACGCCCTGCTTGACAACCTGAACGCGCCTCGTTTCGCAAACTGTAGGCTGCATCTGCCTTGCATCGCATTTCGTGTCACAGCAGTCAAACGGAGTCGCACTCAAGACCAGCAGATATATGAAGTCAAGGCCGACGGACTTCATGACCTGCTGATCACCACGGAGGACAAGCTGATCCAGTTATCATCGCCAAGACCCACTATGCAGACATTCTTGCTCGTTCGTCCATGGAATCGTGATCTCCTCGAGTCTCTGGACTTCAGGGAGCCGTCTGTGTTGGCAGAACTGCCTGACGTTGCTGACAACACGCAGAGCGAGGAAGATTATTGGTCTGCGCCCGGGTCTCCATTACAGGATTCGCCTGGCGAGTTCCCTGAAGCGCAGGAGTTGGTTGATTCGGAACTGAGAGGTCGAGCGTTGCGATTGGCTGCTCACCTTGAGCAGCCTTTTAACGCATTTTTACTAGCGCATCAGCGCGGCGGAGAATACAAGAGAATCGCGTCAGATCATGATATTATTGCACAAGTCAAAGACCTTTCTTCTATTCCGGACATGGTCAGGACGCTAGAGATATTGTAGCGGCATGCATCCTTGGTGTTAGTTATATCCATAATCCAAGAATGTGAATCTGACGTATGAGACGAGCAATACCCATGGAATATCCTCGAAGCTGGTCTACAAGCAATAATACAACTGGCCACTTCCATGCTCTCCAGTCACGAGCTTCCCTGTGACTAACGGTTGCTAATTGGATGGATGAGGAACATAATCTTCATCATGAATCAAGTCATCGTCAGCATCGTTGTGCTGCAAATGGGTGAGACCTTCACTACAGCGGGAAAAATGAACCATGTATACCGGTTAACTCGAGGCAAGACGAACATTGGAAATTGGTGGCAATGCACAAGCGGTCCATAGGTGGTGTAGGCAGGCTTTGAAGGTTGTAGGAGCAGTAGCGGATGATTGGTTGGTGGGTAGACGAGACTGAAAAAGATGGAAGTTGGAAATATGATGGCGGCCGTTGACGCTTACGTTCTCGCGTGGATCTGTATGTGAACGTCCGTGAGTGGGAGAACAATTAGTAAGGACAATGTAGCAGGGAACTACAAGGAGACCGCCGAGTCAATTGCGAAGGAAACGAGAGAAGAACGTACATCCAAGCGATCACGAATCTCAGTATTCATGAGAGGAGCCGCGCCCGTGCAAGAGGAGGATGGAAGAATTTTGTGAAGGTAGTGAACCAAAGTGGCTGTCTTAGCAGCTGAGCAGAGAAATATCTGACAGGCGAGCGCAGAGATCACTGGCTTACGACGCGGCACAGCAGGACCGGGACTCGAAAGCCCAGAGCCCGACGACGCGGTCATGGGTAGGGCTGGCGAAAAGAGCACATTCAAATGACAATGTTAGGCCTATGACAAGGCTGGTGTGCCCTTCAAAGGGCGTTCCCACCTTCTTCAGTGTCGAGGCGTCAAACTCATAAATTGTCTGATCGGACCTATGATTGCCAACGTTGAAGCTATAGTGGCAGATCCGTTGTTCACCATTCGGAAGATTGGGAATGGAAGGTTCATGACCCCCAAGGTCGTGACCGGTGTCATCCTGTGTGGGAGCTCCACAATCCAGTCTTCGTGTAGGCCAACAAGCGCCAGTTTGATCCCAAAATGCAATGCCTTCTTTCAAAAATTATACTAAGGCACTGGCGCTTATGAAAACCTAATTCATGCGATGATGCATCAGATATCTGTCCTGGAGATACAATAACGTAGCATGTAATGGAGAGCTATACTTGCATCTAACCAAAGAGGCGAGTTTCATAGTTAGTTTATATCTCGGTCAACTATGGGACAGGTTAATGTGATATAACACATACGACGAATGACAACGATCAAAAGTAAAATGTTCACAATACTAGTTTAGAAGCAGCCACACGACCAGCCGCTTCCATGTTGTCCGGTGGTAATCTGCACTTCTGTGGAAGGTCGTTGCGAATTTGGCTGAAACGCGGTGAGAGAAATGAATCGACCATACCAATTTACCCGGAGTAAGAGGAATGTCCACAATAGGCGGTAGTGCATGACATGTACGAGCGGGCCACAAGGTTGATAGGCGGCGTAGTCCTGTTTTGACGGTGACGGGAGCGGTGACAGAATACTGGGTTGTGTGGAGTGTTGATATGGGTCGAGCCTGAAAGAATATAAGTCGAGAACGAGATGGCAGCCGACACTCATATTCTAGTGGGAATTCATATCAAAATGCACTCGAGTCGTTGCTTGCGCAGAGGGAGAGAAGCTGCGAGGTAGGGGTAAAGCAGCAGGGAACTCTAAGGGGGCTATGAAGTCGACTGAATGCCATGAGGAAGATGGACATTGGAAAGATACATCCAGAGGATCACGAGGCAGATGAGTCCGAACAGGATTCGTGAGAAAATGAAGGATTTTACAAAACTAACAAAGGAAAGTACGTTCCTCCTTGTGGGCGGGGGACGATAACCTGTTGTGTTGGACTATAAGGGACTAACGGAGTAAGAGAGCACTATCAAATGAAAGTGTGGTGAAGTTGCCCTTAGCTCCGACTTACGTGTAGTGTCGACTCGTCGTTGAATTATAATTATTCTTTCTGACTCACAAGCCACAAACATAAAATTTCCCAATCTAGATCTGACAACCGATATTTCTGCAGTGCGTTTCAACATCCCACAATGTCACCAAGTATTTCAAATACGAGTTTGCCAGTGTCCAAGTTCTATATGGAACATCCTGCCTTGCTGTCCACGGAAATATCAATGTAGCTGATATGATACCCTACATAAGTATTCTCCAAATGCTCTCATGATCCGAGGTCAGTACTTGTTGTATCTTTTGGGGCTGCCATGCTCCGCGGCATGGGTTGCGTGGACGGCGAAGCTTAGAAAGGGCGAAAATGAATGCACTCATTGGTGGAGCCTTACCTATCAAAATCACGCCCTGCACTGTTGGGTATTGGAGCAAAGGAACAGGAGGTGCTGGGTGACGGCAGTAAGAAGAAAAAACGGAGAGGAGAGGAGAAACGGTATATCCCACTTGTGAGACAGGAGAGCAGTGGGGAGGAAAGCAGGAATGGGGGTGGGACTGTTTCGAGGAAGGTTTCGCTGTCACCTGATAGAGCAGTAGGAGGGATGATGATCGTGAGAGGAGGATGATTGATAGAAGGAGAGATGATGACCGTGACCCTAGGAGAGAAAGTGATCGCGATAGGCGACGAGAACGCGACCGTGAGGGTCGACAGGACAGAGACCAAGATGACAGGAGGGGAAGAGACGGTAGTAGAAGGGACGACGACAGGGACTTGAACCGAGATCGCGATGTCACTAAATGTCGTCCGGGACGGGAAGAGCACTCGGGGAGGGCGGGTGTGAGAGGGTGGGTGATATCTATGGATTTGTAGAGCTGTTGGGAAGTGGCATTCTTAGCGAGCGAGCGAACTCAGCAGTACATGAAATTACCTCGCACCCGATGCCAAAAGTGCTTTCCTTGACGCGGAATGCCTGAACACGTTGTTGTTAGCGCATATGTCGTGTCACAAATGTGCACGCATACGCATTTTTTCCTTTGTCACACCGCCGACAGTCCACTAATCGAAGCCGGGAGGAGCACTTATGGCAGTCGCATTTGCATTCTCGACGAATAACTCACTGATGATGATGCTCACGGTGAATCCTTGACTGTTCTTCAAGGTCGCGATTGTGTCTTTGAGGCGGCCCGGCGCTGTGGTTGCATGCGAATGAGATGATATGCGGGTAGTTCGTGACCTACGGGAAAAAGTGTTAAATCGACTGGTGGATGCAAGCGAGGTAAGCGTGCAGGGTGTAAGGAGCTACTGTCCTTTACGCACCGACCAAGTTTTAAAACGAAGACACGTTCTACGTCATCCACGTGACTCGTTGATGCGAAGAGCGCAACTCTTCGCATCCGAGTTACGTCACCGAATTACTTTCGCGGGAGTGTCACGACACGTGACATTCGACGACTCAGATGAATGTTGTCATGATTGGCAGGTGTACGCATACGCATTTTTCCTCTGTCAAACCGCTGATAGCCCACTCCGCTGATGACGCGGACGTTCACGGTGAATATTTGAATCCTTGGTTGTTCTCGCGATTGTCTTTAAGCTGTGTTGTATAAGTCTGATGCTTACCACATCGCTGACACAGCATATGACGCAGCCTATGACGCGTCTTACCTACATCGTTGATTGGGCACCGTGCACAATACAGATTCATATATATATAGCTCGACCTACCTGTAGTTGGAGATCTTCTTTTTCTTACCGCCTTGTCAATCATACTCTCTTCCACGTTATCGTTCCGTCTATTAGTGTTGCCGTCGACGTGACGGCATTACAGCTTGCTTGCGAATGAGATGATGGGCAGGCAATTCGTGAACTATGGGAAGATGTTATTGAACCGATGAAGAGACATGTTTTTGTGTATTTCCCAGTGTGTTAAACCAACTGATGGACACAAACCAGGTAAGCGCGCAGGGCATGTTGGATACTGGAGGTGCATCTCACCTGAACGGTACCATGTTCTCTGTGCCCTCCTCGCCGATTGTGGAAACGGATGCGATGAGGTGTGATTCAATGTCTGCGTCAGGCATCATACCACACCCCATCGCATGAAATCAAAAGCTTGGATATATTGCCGTTGATCGCGATCACGATTGCGGCCGAAAAACAGCTCGAGATGTACCTATGTACGTCTTGTCTGTACATGTGTTAGACCTTCCACCTTGCAGATTCGCGTTCATTACTAATACAAAGATTACCCACTGGAGGAGCACAATTGCAAGATGGTGCACATCAACTACTGCAATCACGCAGAAGCCACACCATTTGAAAATCTAGCAATGGACCAGTCAAATCATGATGACCCACTGTGGGGCAAACAATTTCTCCTCGAAAAACCCTACAAAAAGGAAGGAAAACACTGGTCTGTTCTCAGTTTAGATACGTTCATGCTAGTAAATGTAATAGCGCCGGTTGCGCGATCGATCATCGGGGGCAGGCTCGTGGAGTATATCAGTGCGGTTGGGACAGTTGCTATGAATGAACTACGATGAGCAAAATGCATGCAAGTAGGGGTCCAGGCAACAATTGCAACGCACCAAGATGTTAAACGTTATAATGAGTGGTCAAAAGTTTTTGTCAAGCTCACCCACCTGGGCTTCCCAATAAGTAAGCCTTAATATAGTTGTTTATTACGTGCTGTACTTACTAATGTTTGGCTTGGTTGCTGTCAGATTCAACACCAGCATTAAATGTTGTCCCAAATCACCTGGAACCTTCAGCGTACGCTACCTAGGTAGCTCGGCACTCTCCGCTGCCTATACCACCCGGATGCGCCATCCCAATGCACCCGCCAACGCGCCTCACTTTCCAAAATGGGGCAGGCAACACTCTCACGCCCTTTGTACTTGCCCGCCACCACCATCATCGTCTACCCTCAGCGTATAGATGGCCCCCTTGTCTTCCAACGGCCACCACCCTGCTGCTAACGTTGCGCAGGCCTTCCAAACTCCCAGAAAGACTCAACGCGCCCACATCTCTTGTCTTTGCCTGCCACCACCACCATTGTCTACCCTCAGCGTATAGACGGCCCCCTTGTCTTCCAATGGTCACCACCCTGCTGCTAACATTGTGCAGGCTTTCCCAACTCCCAAAAAGACTCAACGCGCTCACCAACGCGCCCACATCTCTTGTCTTTGCCCGCCACCACCACCATCATCTACCCTCAGCGTATAGACGGCCCCCTTGTCTTCCAACGGCCACCACCCTGCTGCTAACGTTGCGCAGGCTTTCCCAACTCCCAAAGGGACTCAACGCGCCCGCCAACATGCCCACACCTCTTGTCCTTGCCCGCCACCACCACTGTCGTCTACCCTTAGCGTATAGACGGCCCTCTCGTCTTCCAACAGCCACCACCCTGCTGATAACGTTACGCAGGCTTCCCCAACTCCCAAAAGGACTCAACACGCCTGCCAATGCAGCCATGCCTCTTGTCCTTGCCCGCCACCACTACCATCGTCTACCCTCAGCATATAGACAGCCCTATTGTATTCCAACGGCCACACCACCCTGCTGCTAACGTTGCGCAGGCTTTCTCAACTCTCAAAGGACTTCCTAACATGGCGTCATCTGCTCATCTACAGACCACTTTCTGGATGCTACCCATGTATCTTAATGACTGGTGGCACCTTCATCTCGGAGGAGGATCATTGGGCTCACAAAAGCGGCAAGAAGAAACTTTTTTATTATAGTAGGTATCTAATTGAATGTACTTGGGACCTTATGTGATGAAAAACGGTTAAATCTATTCAGACGAGTGAGATTGATTGTTGTCATTGGTGTTGGTATCAACACTAATGCTGCTGTGGGCGCTAGTGCTCATGTTGGCACTGGTGCTCGTGTTGGTGCTGGTGGAGCTGACATTGGTAGGTGAAGTGGGGGCATCATCTTCATCATCCTCATCATCTGTATCAATAGTTTCTGTACTCTTGTACTTTTTCTTGTGATGCTGTGTTCCAGAGTCATCAAGCAATCACACTCGCTTCTTTCCTTTGTCCGAGCGAGTTCGGCAGCGGCTCTCGATAATCTCACCACTTTCAATCTTCTCGTTACGCTCTTCAAGGAGTTGTTGAAACTCCTCCTCCTCAAGTTGTCTCCAATGAACAGCACCAGACTCCCACTTCCGTTGCAACATCTGGAGGTCAGGAAGAGCACTAGATGCTTTGCTGAGGTTGACGAATGGGATGTTGGTGTGCCAGCCATGGACAACAACTTGATAAGGCTCGACGACGTTGCGGAAATAATTGGCCCAGTGCATCCTCGCACTGTCGTCCTTAGTGATTTCCACTATACATTATAGTAGTTAGTATAACAGCAAGCAAAGAAGATTCAGGGAAAATTTACCGAGTTTCCGATTGATTATATTGCGCAGGGATGCACGGACCTTAGAACAGCGCTTTTGATGATTGCCCGCAGCACCTATCATCAGAAATTAATTGACAAAGACTCGTTTTCGGTCGAGATGAGGCTGACCTTTCATTCCCTGGACAGCAAATCCTTCCATCTTGCTGATTAAATCTTGATTATCGATATTCATCACGGACGGCATAAACTCCTCTACACCGTTGGTAGCGAAGATAACACCACAGAGAGGGAGGTCAGTAGACCCACGCGTTGCGTAGAACATTGACTCAGTGCCAGTACGACTCCTCAAGTTGTTTAACTATACACTGTCAGCAAGCAAAAATAAGATGCATGAAGACTAACCTCGCTCTCGACAGCCTTGAATGTCGAGGTGATATCAATAATCTTCAACTTAGTTGAAATTCGGACCCCTGTGGTTTTCGTCTCCTTGTATTCACCATATTCGAGCAGAAGCTGAGTCTTCTCCTCTTCGGTGAGGTCCTGATATTCTTCACGGTGGTCCTTGACAATTTCCTGCAAGACGTCCTTGCCCGTCGTACCTTGATACCGTCACACAATAAGTACACTTCTGTTGAAGTGATTAAAAAATGTGCTTACCGTTGTCCTTGTTCTCTTGACGTTTCTTCCAGCAGAATGCATTCCAAGCACTCAACTTGGAGCGCTTGAACCTCATCATCCCGCGTCCTATGCACAAGTCATTTTGGACGCGACGGAAGCTTTTGTGATGGGAGGATGTGATGGTCTTCACAGTCTTGTCAAGACCGTCCCATGCGCCCTGAAGGGCTAACTTGAAGCGACGGGAATTGTCTCGACATCGAACTGTAAGGGCAGCACGAGCCTCCTTACTGAGAGTAACTCTGGAGCGACAGGTAGGGTGTGCCTGGATGCGCTTGTGCACCTGCGTTGCAAGGGAGGGGGGAGCCATTGACCTGGATATTGATCCGTTAGCGAGGAGTTTATATGTAGAAAGCAAGCATGATATTTAGCATAGCACACCAGACGTATATTGACATAATATTGACACAACTACTAGTTACTTTGAAATGATGGGTAATTCAATCTAATAACCAGAAACAAAGACAAAACAGGTAAAGCGTGCACATACACACTAGAATGCTGAGAAACCTGAAAATTTGCAAAAGGAGCGAAGATGACGCCTAAATGGTGACCAAATAATCAGTTATAAAAATTTAAACAACCCAAAAACACACCATACCTTATTGACCACGTACATAGATCGGCTGCTGTCAAGATCCAAATGGAGCGCTTTACTCATGTTCAACGCCTGCTCATGAGTCAGATTCCATTTCGGAGATTGAAGTACAGCCTCCCAGCGGCTGCTACAAACAGAACCGATGAGCTCTTGGAGCTTTAGAAGCATCCTGTCATCCAGACCAAATCTATCAAGCACGGCATCGGTGTGCAGACCAATACTAAGCAGAGGGGCCCCAGTATTCAGGAAAGCCGCATCAGCATGACGGCGCTGACGAATGCTGCCCTTGCGGAGCGAAGCACTAGCAGACATTGTGTCAGACACATCCTTTTTGCCAAGGCTTGTCCCATCTGAACAGCAGCCAAGAGCAACTTGTTACTGATTTCGAAATCTTGCGTGAACTGCCTGGTAGGACGAGCCGAGCACTGGACCCATGCACCCGTGGCTACAACTGGCCCGGGTATGAATGATGGTCCAGAAAAATTCACTTGGCTTGCAGCATCTTTAAGTGCGAAAGAAAAAGATGTGAGCTTCTAAATAGTATAGCTGCATCCAGATAAGATAGACTTACAGTGCTGGGGAGGGATGATGCCCTCAATACGACAACGTTCCGAAAAACGCTGTAGATGCGGAATTGCAAACTCCTCGCTGAAAGCCTGGACCAAAGCTGATAAGTCTCCCCCAATGCGCCTGGGTGTTTCATGATATTCACGTGGCGTGATGTACATAGAGTTCAATGGTGAATCACTCTGGAGAGTGTGGTTCTGGGGCTTCAGAACCAGCGCAGTGCATAAGGATGGAAATCCCACCATCAAGTGGGTCTTGCATTGCAATCTGACGACAGTTTATATTATTGGTCTGTTAACAATGAGAAGTTGAGAGCTCACCGCATCAAACACATCTTGCAGTGCTGCATCCACGAACTCTTCCTGAGTGATGGTTCGTTCATCTGATGACGTGTATGAATTGAAGGCGATGTGCGAAGGATGGAGGCCGCCAGGCTTTCGAGTGTGGTAGTGAGTACCGTCAATGTGAGCATCATGTCTGAGTACCGCACGGGCCGCTGCCTGTCGCTCTGCATTACTGAACCCTTGCGCAAATGAGCTCAAGTGTAATGCTGCTAAGCTATTCAACGAGAAGCGAGGTTGAATCGTCACCTGCACTGGAGACGTGGTTTCAGTAGACGCTGTCTGACTCAGACAATGATCTTTCTGTTTTGCAGGGATGGGAGATGAGGAACGGACAGAACAAACCATGGTCGAGGTGTTGAGTTAGGATGGAAGGATGCTTGAGGTAAGGAAAATTAAGGCCTGCGCAGGTAACCGATTACGGATATCATAATAAGAGAACCCAGTGCGTGCTGTATACAGTTATAAATCAGGACATCTAGTAGCAGATGATATGTAGAAGGGACGAAGTAGTAGCAGATGATATGTAGAAGGGAATATGATATGTTAAGATCAGTTGAACGGTGAAGCGAGTTTGTTATACTATTTGAATCCTAGATAACGAAGATACTTAAAAACCATCACATCCTATGTCTCCCATTCAACTACAGACTGTATTCCTGTTGTACAAAAGTAGTAGCAGATGATATGTAAAAGGGAATATGATAAGTCGAACGGCGAATATATCTAAACTCCTAGACAACAAAGATACTTAAAAACCATCACATCTTATGTCTCCCATTCAACTACAGACTGTATTCCTGTTGTGCAAACCATTCTGTGCGTCTCATTGATGTACCGTCTATCGTAGAATTCGAGTCATGATGCTATTAGACAAACTACTAGTACAAGGAGCGAACTACTGAGAACATGTTCAAAGTAGCAGCATTCAGTCTGCGACGGAGGCCAAAAAATCAGCGAAGTCCTCTACAGTCCGTGCTTCTTCCTCATGCTCGAGAATATCTCCATCACTCTGTTCAGATGCCAAAATATTCGAGGCAGCTGTCTCTGACTCTGCCTGGTTATTGCTGGCATGGATAACAGCGGGTATGTCTGCATGTTTAATAGTATCAATACTGGTTGAAATAATCAAGAGACATACCGTGGCTAGAGGACTCAGATGTACTGTTGAGCTGCACACCAATTCCTCTTGTCCCTGAAAAGTTCGATTGCGACGCAATTTGATCTAATCTAAAAAGATGCACTGCGTTGATGGCAGCACGTCTTCACCATCGACGTTGCAATTCAAGTCCAACAGGTCTGTTTGATGTGAGAAGAACCTCAATGGTGGCGTTTACCGTAAGTTCTTCGTCGTATATAGCTGTACGCAACCGACGAATTTCAACATTCAATCGTTGGATTTCTTCACGAGTGCATTGGATCTTGAAGTACTTCACCGTAGCTTCACGGTGAGCAGGTTTAGTCCAATCCAAAGAGCGGATGTCAGAACGTGATTGACGCAAGAGATCGAACTTGCCAAGGAAACTATATTCGACAATATCTTTCCAAGTCAGCTGTGGTCGCGGAGGGACCAGAGCAGTGGCCTGAGTGTTGTATTGGCCGAGTGCATTACGAATTGCCTCAGAACGACATTGTAAAGCTTTGCTGATCTGTTGGCGTAATTTGTAGCCTAGTTCAGAAAGGATTAAGTGCTAATGCGGCCATTACCAAAATGAGAGACCTACCTGTCCCTGAAAGTGAGAGCTTTGACAGCTCAAATAAACGCATAACAACGAGCCGTTCTAGCTCATCAAGTGCCGTCTGATAGTTCAAAAGTGAGGCTTCCTGGCGGAAGCGATTATAATGCTCGCTCCCGATCTCCCATTGTTTTTCAATTCCCAGCTGAATTTCCAAGTGCGAAGCCATTGCTTCCGCATTTTGAAGCTTGGAATATGCTCCATCAACACGTACCCAAGCTTGATTCAGGGCGACATGCATATCCTGAAAGCCACCGACATGAATGTCTACGAGCGACCGATTAGCTGCTTCGCGAGCCGAGTTCCATTCCGTTCTGTTATACTAGTACTGAGGCATCAAATCAGTACAAATTTGGCTAATGACTTACTGTCGCTCGGCAACATCATCGAGAGCTCGAATATACCGAATGCTGACTCAATCCTTGAGTGGCGGCTCTTTCAGCCCATCAAGGTATGAACGCTCTTGCTCATGAAAACGGAGGAAGTCTTTGTTTGAAATGTTAAGCACACTTTGGAGAGTAGCAAGTTCAGCGCTAAGAGTTTGTACAGCCGTTAAAGCTTCTCAGTAATGATTGTGTAAAAATGTGCCTATACATCAATCTAGAATCAGCTCTGATTGTCTACCGGGTCAAAGACAAAACTTACTAAGGGCTGCATACTTGTCCTCGTCCCAAAAGGAGAAGTGCTGCTCGATTGCCTGATGTCGGTGAAATGGACTAGCATGGCGAGTGCTACGAGCAAGCTCGTTTGACGAAGAAAAAATGTGCTCACAGCCTTCACCTTCTGTGTGGCCGGTACCTTCTATATAGAGCGGGTGCCAATCAATCTGACACCTTCGGTTATGAGCATGGCCGTGAAACGCCCCGACCATCATCCGGAAATTGAGTGCGCGAGCGCGGGGACCCAGGCTACTATTGTCGAGTGTTTTAGAGAATGCACAACCGATATCATATGCAACACCCCTGTTCTTGCCATAAATGTCGAGCAGGCGGTCTATAATGGCTAATGGGTATTTTGCACTTAAAACCAGTCAGCAAGGATGACAACAATATCAAAATAAGATACGTACAGCTCACCACTTTTCACCATATCGCAAGCTAAAAGAATGATCCGGTGGCGGCAGGCTGCGACAATGATTCCGGATTCATCAAAGATCGAGAACATGCGTTTACGTTGTTCTGGACCAGCATTTCGCCAGCGGTCGACACAATGGAATGATGCTGGTGCAGACTCCGACTGTATGACATCTTCCCAATCATCATTACGTTCTTTCTAGCTAAAATGATTAGTTTCGTATAGTTGATATGAGCCAAACTCACTGATTGCGTTTGAGCACCTTTCTGGAATTCATCAGCCTGTGCTCGGCTAAGCCAGTAGTCGGAACGATAGGTGCGTGAATCATTATGTGGAGATGTGCCATATATTGATGACAACCATCTTTTCAAGCTATTGTTTCCGTCAATAGTGGCGAGCCATTCAAAAGCTAGGGGATGTTCACCCTCAAGCTTATAAAAGCAACAGGGACACGAGTTAAGAAGTCGCCAATTGGGCGTGTTGTGCTTGAGCGCTGCTTTGATGAGGGAGTCGACACGATGCAAAATCTCAAGGTACACATCATAAGCGTCTGAAAACTGTGTATTAAAATAAGGTCGGTACGGAATCTATGAAACAATATGTTATTAATGTATCATATCAATACATTAGAAATCATACATCGTGAAGGTGACATAAACTTTTGCACTGCGCTTGGATGCTATATCGGAGGCATGTCCTATGAGTTTGCTGATACACAGCAAGCGTGCGCAGAGAAATGGCAACAGTTGGGTGAAGTGGGGAGCAGCCTAGGTAACCGTGGTAGATAAGACTTTCGTTCAGAAATTTGTGGAAGGCTCGAGGCTGCACAGAAGTGCACTTCCGACCTGTGTATTGTTAGTCAATACAAATCCGACGAATAAAAATACATAAATCACTGAATATATCGATGAGCTCAATGTTTTGAAGTGATAGATTGTCCGCATGATTGCATATAGGTTGATCCTCCTTCAAAGCACTTGGCATGCCGTCGCCAGCATCCCGGGTACGATAGTCCAAGTAAGCATCGACAAGGCATTCCATTTGAGCATTCCAATTTGCGTTCTGGATGTCAATGCGGTCCTTGCGGGTGCGCGGATCCACATAGTGGCTATGATATGTTAGAAGATGACAACAAGCGCACGGAAATAGAGACTTACCAGCCAGAAATATTGGCCATTTGCTGAGCTAGTCCCTCAAAGGCCTCGTACTCGCCACCTTCATGGCTAAGGTCCACTCCTTCCTCACCAGGAGGTGCTGTATATGGTAGGGATTCGGTATCAACATCATGATCGATGAGCATGGTCTCCACAGCCTCACGATCCTCAGATGACATTTCTGCAACAATGAAAAGGACATCAAAGTCATGTAGAACAATAGTTATCATACCTTGTATACATGCTTGCCGTTTCGCACTGACTTCCTCCCTCCGTTGGCTTTGTTTCCCTGCCTTAAGTACATCAATAGTCCAAACAGAGCGTCGAAACGAATGTTTGGTAGCCACTTTGGATAGCCCCGTGATCCTCCTCACAGATGGGCGCATCGTTGGTGAACGTGGTACGTGGCTGAGCATTGGCGAGCGCGTTGAGTCTTTTTGGGAGTTGGGAAAGCCTGCGCAACGTTAGCAGCAGGGTGGTGACCGTTGGAAGACAAGGGGGCCGTCTATACGCTGAGGGTAGACAATGGTGGTGGTGGCAGGCAAAGACAAGAGATGTGGGCGCGTTGAGTCTTTCTGGGAGTTTGGAAGGCCTGCACAACGTTAGCAGCAGGGTGGTGGCCATTGGAAGACAAGGGGGCCGTCTATACGCTGAGGGTAGACGATGATGGTGGTGGCGGGCAAGTACAAAGGGCGTGAGAGTGTTGCCTGCCCCATTTTGGAAAGTGAGGCGCGTTGGCGGGTGCATCGGGATGGTGCATCCGGGTGGTATAGGCAGCGGAGAGTGCCGAGCTACCTAGGTAGCATACGCTGAAGGTTCCAGGTGATTTGGGACAACATTTAATGCTGGTGTTGAATCTGACAGCAACCAAGCCAAACATTAGTAAGTACAGCACGTAATAAACAACTATATTAAGGCTTACTTATTGGGAAGCCCAGGTGAGCTCACCATGAGTGACACGCCGACACGTGACAGAATGTGACGCGACGTGAGTACTTGGCGCGCGCTCCGAGTGTGAACACGACCAAACCACACGCACCACTGCTAGTATAGCACAGACGACTATGGCACCCGCCAAGTCCTCAAAGACTGCTGCACCCACAGGAAAAGACCTTCGCTCTTTCTTCGGTGGTGCTGGAGGAGGTAAATCCGTGAGTATCCTTCCTCCATCCATCCATAACTTCTGCGGACTCCTAGCACAAGGCAATAACCAAATCCGACCGCACAATGATGCCCGACAGTGATGACATTCCATCGAAAAAGAGTCTCAAGCGAAAAAATACAGTTGTTATCTCGAGCGATGAGGAGGACGAATCCGTCGCGTCCCCGCCAAAGAAGAAAGTAGCTGTCGCTGCGAAGTCTGCACCGAAGGTAGTTGCCTCGGCCTCAACTTCGAAAGTGGCTGCACCAAAAGCAGTCGTGTCAGCATCGGCTTCAAAAGCTACCGCAACGAAAGTAGCCGCGTCACCTTCGACCTCGAAAGCAACTATATCGACAAGCAAGACCAAGACGAACCGAAAGGCACCTGTCAAATCCAAGAAATCAAAGGACGACGAGTTCGTGGTGGACTCTTCCGAGGAGGAAGCGGAGGAGAGTGAAGACGACTATGAGGACGAGGAAGATGTCAAATATGAAAAGAAAAGTAACACTAAGCCGCCCCCAAAGTCAAAACCGCCCCCCAAGAAACCTCCCCCACAGAAAAAGGAAGCAGCTAAAGGACAGGCTAAAGAAGAGAACGCGGAACTGCCCACCAAACCCTTCAAGTACACTGACTTTCCGTGTTTGTGCTTCTGTCTCTGAACTACGTGACTTAGTTGGGCTGCTGCAAAAGCCGCAAAATTAGCTGGACCGTCTGCCCCTGGTTCGAAACAGGTCCCTGAGCCCAAGTCATCCAACTGCCTCGAGGGCCTTGCCTTTGTCTTCACTGGCGAACTCAGCAGCTTCTCTAGAGACGAAGCAATAGACTTGGCGAAGCGATTTGGGGGGTTAGTTATCTTAACATCCACAGTATCTACAAGGCTTCACAATTTCATAGGCGCGTCGTAGGGCAACCTTCATCAAAAACATCGTTTGTTGTCCTGGGTGACAATGCTGGTCCTTCGAAACTAAACGCAATCAAGAAGCACCAACTCAAGACGCTCTCCGAGGATGAGTTCCTTGATCTCATAGCCACTCGCCAAGGACCAGGTGATGGGAAGTTAGATGAGAAGACTAAGAAGAAGATGGCAAAGGAACAGGAAACGATCAAACAGGCTGCAAAGGAACTCGAGCGGAGGGAGAAACAAGCGTCGAAGGACGCTGGCGAATCTAGTAGGTCAGTATGCACTCCGTTTTCACCCAGCACATCCCCTGATTCTTACTACAGCTCCAAAGTTGATGTCTCCAACCAGCTGTGGACAACGAGATACGCTCCTCAATCATTAAAGGAGATCTGTGGCAACAAAGGACAGGTGGAAAAACTACAGCAATGGCTTCACGACTGGTAGGTCTATATGTTAGCGTCTGTTCAAGCAAATGCAAATCCCTTCGCAGGTCGGACAGCCTGAAGTGTGGTTTCAAAAAACCGGGGAAAAATGCTATGAATGTCTACCGTGCAGTGATGATTACTGGCCCACCTGGTATAGGCAAGACTACCAGTGCCCATCTTTGTGCGAAGCTCGAAGGGTTCACGCCTATTGAGCTTAATGCAAGCGACGCGCGTAGCAAAAAGCTAGTCGAGGTAAATCGGAAGTGGTGCCTTACCTTTATACTGTGCTCACAAACATCTAGAGTGGCATGAACATCAGCAATCTGTCGTTAGACGGGTGGATGGGTGGAAGCAATGTTTGTTTGTTCAATGCTCTGTTACGATGGCTCTAATATTTTAATAGGCTACAAACGCAGCAGGAGTCAGAGTCACCGACAAGACGTGTCTCATTATGGACGAAGTCGACGGCATGTCCGCTGGTGACAGGGGTGGCGTTGGCGCTCTCAGTGCCTTGATCAAGAAGACGAAAGTATGTTTTGATCCGTCCGCTCGAGCACACATCTTACCTCGTAGCATTCAGATCCCTATTATCTGTATTGCTAACGATAGAGGCGCCCAGAAGCTGAAGCCACTCGTTGCAAATACTTTTGGCATGACATTTCGGCGGTATGTCGAACTCAATTTCAGGAGTAACATGACCTCACTGCAGTAACAGACCTGAGGCTCAATCTGTCCGATCACGCATAATGACGATCGCGTACAAGTAAGCTGTCCTTCAATCACATTGACACCATGCTGATGTCGTCGACTAGGGAGAATATGAAAATTCCTGCCAACGTCATCGATCAGCTTATCACTGGCTCTCAGTCAGATATTCGACAAGTTTTGAATATGTTGTCGACATGGCGACTATCCAGTAGTAGCATGGACTTTGACGAGGCGAAGAATCTGTACGTGTGCTCTTCGTCGTTTGCTACTCACTAATTATACTATAATACAGTGCAAAGATCAACGAAAAGTACACTATTTTGACACCGTTCGACGTGACGTACAAAATTCTTGGTCCGTATGCGTTTGGGCCGAACGTTCGAGAGACACTGGGCGACAAGATGGAATTGTACTTCCACGACCATTCTTTCGTCCCGCTTTTCATCCAGGTGAAACACACTGTTTTCGAGTACCACCGAAGTATTTACCCTCTCGTCAGGAAAATTATTTGAAGACTCAACCTGTCAAGGTTCGGAACCTCGAAGGGCCTCCAAAGATGTTGAAGCAACTCGAGTTGATGGATCAAGCCGCATCTTCTATATCTGACGCCGATCTCGTCGATGCCCTGATTCATGGGTGAGCAGATTGCATAACTCTTTCTATTGGATTTTATGATGTCCTTCAGGCCGGAGCAACACTGGTCATTGATGCCATTGCATGCGGTATGTTCAATGGTGCGGCCCGCTTCATTCTTGTTTGGTCCAGGCGGCGGATACGGCGGCCAAAACCCAATGACATTCCCTCAGTATGTTCGCCCCAGCTTACTACACCCATCATTCATATGATTCTCGCATAGGTGGCTAGGACAAAATTCGAAACAGATCAAGCTCAATCGACAACTAGGAGATGTGCAGGTTCGAATGCGACTCAAAGTCTCTGGGGACAAGCACGAGATCCGACAGTCGTATATCCCTGCACTGTTCCCTCACGTTGTTAAGCCACTGATAGATCAGGGTGCTGTGAGTCTTGTCCCTTCCTCTTCCTCCTTGCTACTTATCGCGTCCTTCATAGGCTGCTGTCGACGACGTCATTGAACGGATGGACGAGTATTACCTTTCTCGTGAGGATTGGGACACGGTCATTGAGCTTGGCGTGGACACTCAGAAAGACGATGTCGTTAACAAGCTCATCAAACCTGCGACCAAGACATCGTTTACGAAGAAGTAAGGCTCACCGATCAACCGTGTCAGATTGTCGCTAACCGCACGCTCAGGTATAACAGCACGGATCATCCAATACCCTTCCACAAAGCAACGGACCTCGGGAAAGTCCCCAAGAAACTTTCAGGAGGTCCAGCGCCCGATCTAGAAGACGTTTTCGATGTGAGTGTCCCAAGCATGATCGTCTCCGTCCACTAACATTTCTTTCAGTTGGATGATGAAGTCGTTGATGTGTCTGATGATGAGAAGAAGAAAGTAAAGGATGAGGATGAGGTTGCTGCTGATAAGTTGTTCCAGGCTAGTAAGCCAAAGACACAGAAGACTAAGACGAGGACGGTCAAAGGGAAGAAGGTCCAGAATTTTATGTGATTTATTTAATTTTCACCATGGACATTACTCTTCACTTCGTTATGACTGCGCGGGCGACGTAGCAACTATGTTGTCAAGAGCCAATTATATTTCATATCCACCAGGGTTATTCGACTTGTTCAAGGGTAAGAATTGCATAAGTACTTTCTATGAGTGTAATAGACACTATATCAACATGTAATAGGCTATAACATGACACTGACACATTGCATAAATTTTACAACTTCAGATTTGTGACTGAGGCGACCCTATATTTTACACTATCCTGGCCGCACCGTTTTGGACGTCCAGGAATCATCCGCCGTATGTACAGCGTCCTGCCAGATCGTTCGAAATCATGACAGACGCGATTTGGACGCGAAGTGATGTTGGGTCACGTGTCCATTAAGTTCAGTATGAAGAATTGATTGTATTGATGGCTACGAAATACATACATAGAAAACATGCCTGACTCAACTAACTCAACTCGCCCCTCTACCCTAGCTCGGGTTACCGTACTTTATGCATACATACACTTTCTGTGCATTCTAGAAGCTACACACCTAACCTTCGTCAAACTCAACCGTAACCAACAGTGACCATCGCACCTAGACCGGTGTCCTTGTTTCACTCGATAACGAGAATGACGTCAAAGGTTTTGTCGCGTGATGATATTGAACGCCTGTGCTAACACCAAGAATCTCGTCCGCCTCTCGCGATCCAGCAAGCGGGATATCTTTCCGAAGCGAAACCTTGACAGGATCTTCACCAGTAATGTGCGCCAACGCAAACACAACGTCGAGGTCTTCCATGATAGAATTAACTAGGAGCTGGACAGAGGACGCGCAAAACTTACCTTCTAAAGACCGACCGCCAGTTTCGGGGAAGAAAAAGTAAACAACTGGAATAATGGCTGCATTCAATGCTGCAAAAACGATGTAGGTTCTCCAGGAGATGTTGTTAAAAGATGGCCCAACGACCATCACGACGACAAAGTTGAAAGTCCAGTTTGACGCTGGGAAAACAATAGGTAAGTAAAGTTGTCTTGGCGTACGAGAGTGACAAACCCGTGCTTAGTGCATTTGTTGGTGCACGGGTTCTGAGCCCAGCAAGCTCAGCGCACTGGAAATCAGCAAAGAAAATATCAGATCACCGAAAAATCAAAATGATTAAAACCGCCGTTGCTGTACTCACGTATAACCAGGCCATTCCAAGCCACCCAATAGCAAAAAACGTATTGAAGCCGAATAACATGACTACGCTCGCAATCTGCGCTGGCTTATTGTTAATATATCCTAAGATAGCCAAGAGCAGCATCACGATGCATTGGCCGATTGTTCCAATCAGCATGAGTTGGCGCCTGCCAACATAGTCTATTGCATAATAAGCAATAAAAGAAGCAAGGAAATATTCTGTGCCGTTGGCAGCAGCGGTAATCCGCGCGTTGACATCGGAGAGACCAAGACGCTGGAATACAATAGTCTACGTGATATCAGCATCGTCGTAGTAGGCCATGTGGTTGCATGACATACAGCGTAACTGTTGAAAGCGCATTTTTAAATCAGAACAAGTCACTTCAGGAGACTGAAATACCCACTAGGTAACGAGGTTGATTCCGGTCAGCTGCTGCATCATCTGACATGCCACAGCAATGGCTGTTCGTCTGAAGTTTTGACTGCGACCCCCGGTAGTGAGTTCACGTAATGAACCTTGACTAGATGTTTCGACAGCAACAGCTTCACGAATACCGTAGTACGTGCGCTGAACTTCTGGATCAGTGGGAGGTTTGTCTTCCATTGCGGATATAACGGCCATCGCTTCTGCATTCCGACCATGCTTCACCAACCTAAGATTCTAATTAGTTTCGCGAAAATCATGGAGAATAACAAGAACTCGCCATCTCGGTGACTCGGGAAGCTTGTGTAGCGTGCCAAATCGATTCTGTTAGTACTAGTATGCACATTTTTTGGGAGAAACAGAACTCACGAATCCAATGCACGTCACCACAATGATTTCAAACACCAACTGCAAAGCTATCGGAACTCTCCACTGAGCAGACGACCAATTCACGAAGAACCTGATTTTATCGTCGCCATCGGTCAGACAAGCTTAACCTGGATATGACATTGAAACATACAGTGCTAAATCAACCCACTAGAGCACCATGTCAGCAAAAATGAACAAATGAAATAACGACGCGCGTACATAGCTGTAAAACAGTAATTAAATTAATTTAATAAATCGATATAATGGCGCACTCACGCAATGGATACTCCAACCACAATCAGAGTCCCCTCCATCATGATCCTAGAAGAATTCTGTGAGTCTTTGGATTATATTGCGTATGAATGACATGCATTCGACCCCTCTTTGCGGAAGGGGAGAGCTCTGCATGATATGTTGGCACCGTTGATGTCTGCAGACTTGTTTCAGCAGGACTTCGGGATCATGAACAGGCATCGCTGACTATCAGACCATTTCCGTAGCCTGTGAGGATACGAGAAAAAGTCAACTGTGCGAAAGAAAACGCAGTTATTTGCAGAATTGCCCCTGTGAGAAATTTAGCTAGTGTTCTTAAAACGATATAATTCGCCTACCGATCATCATTATGCTGCCTCCTAAAAAAATTGTTCTACGGCGACCAAGCCTATCTCCCACCCAAAGATTGGACAGAGCACCGAAGAGACAGCCCACTTCCTACATGGTATAAGCATAAAATACGACGTACAAAAGGTGACAACATACATAAATGGCAATTATGAAGCTCTGAAGAGTTGCGTGATTGGGGTGGCTGGCCTCTACTACGACTTCAGGGAAGGAAGCCTCAAACTGGTACAATGAGAATATGGACACTTGCATGCGAGGCTTGATAGAACACATGTTACCTGATTACCCGTAATTAGTGACGACATGACGCCTTGGTCATACCTGAATCGCAAAATGAGAATAATTCGATTGTTAGTCACTTCTTAACGCACCCAAGGAGTGTGAATCCAGTTCCTGCCACAAACGCCACTGCAGCCGTTAGCTTACGACCGCGCAGGGACGGCGCATGAGCAGCGATATCTACTGGATCCAAGTCGAATTGTTGATTTATCTGCTCATGGTCAGTGTCAGTCTTTTCTCCAATAGATGGCAGATGTTTCTCCTGGTCAGATGGAGGAAGAGACATAGTACTGCGCAGGTATTGATTATTATTGTCGAAGAACGAGATTTATATACTTGGGCGGCTTCCAGCTTCGGTCCTGACAAATGGGAGCCCATATCTACATCTGTTGACGACCTCAGGATTGACTTTTGGGGATCAGGATGGAGCTGCGGAGGCCGAAATGTTTCAGTCGTTCATGATTGGAGATAAGGTCAATTATCGAATTGTACGGGTCGGATTCTGTGACACAAAGCGGTGATGAATCGATGACGTCTTGAAGAATCGAAGTGTTTTCTATGAGAAGCTCCCGTTTCTGTTGAACATCATGGCTCGCGACACGTTTCTTGCATAAAAATAGGCTGGTACCACAAAGTGCGAAACCTGGGGATGTTACTGAGGGCGACCAGCATCGAAGTCAAGGTTCACGAGGTTCTCGGCAAATCAAAGACACGAGACGAGGAGTCTTCAATTTGAACGCAGGCTACAACGATAATGAGGAAACAGCAATCTCGACGTTGGACCCTGGTAGATATCAACCGGACCATGAAGTTTGTCGTTGAACTAGGTCGGAATTAAAGAAGAGCTGCATAATTTGAAAGTGCGGACTACTATCGGCAATATGATCATCCACAATCAAATACCCGACCTCCAACCATTCCCACGGCTAGCTATAGGGGGTTGGATTTAGTTCTGCCGATTATCGACATTCCTAAGACACCAATGTTGCCTCGTCCCATTCGTCACCCTCGCCATTGTGATTAACCACCTCAACTTCATATAGAATATTATTCCTTCAAGTTGTTCGACCCGATCTAACTCGTCAAAATCAAAAACATTTCCCTCGAACACTTCAAGTTGACTCCATTAATGCTCTGAACTTCTTCAGTCCTTTTTGACTCTTGCGAGAGCTGCAAATTCAGTAGTAATATCGTCAGGCGAAATACTCTCTGGACTGGCAAGAAAGTCTCTGCATCTCGAGGTTCGGTCGAGAGCGGAGGTGTCTACGCGAAAGATGCTTCAAGATCCTGTCCAGTCTCGATAGCAATACTAACCTCTTCACGAGTGTGCATGCGAGCATGTCGAAGACGGATGGACTTCCCAGCCTCCGCGGCTTTTATGGCGCTGTGGTTTGCACAAGTATTTCAAATGTGTCAACTGAAAGATCACACCGCGCGGATGGTGTTGTGCCGAGATCAGAGAAGTTGAGAACGTGCGCTCTACTTCGCCTGCATGCCCTACAATTGAGAAGACCGTCACAGCAAAGATCCTGAGCGGGTGGATTTCAGAATTGATTGAATGGTCTTTCCACCAAGAAAGGCCGTCCGCTTCGCCGCCAGCCAATGGAGCTAGTAACTGATTATAAGCCTGCAGGTCATCCGAGCCGTGCAAATGTTATTACCCACGGTCTGCAAGCCTCTTTTCCCACTCTGACAACCGATTTCTGCAGTGAGTTTCAACATTTCATAGCACAGTGCGCACCCAATCTGTCACCAAGTATTTCAAGTACGAGTTCCACAGTGTCCAAGCTCCATATCGAACATCCTGCCCTGCTCGCCAGCAGGGTGCTGTCCACGGAAATATCAATGCAATTGATATACTCTACAAGTGTCCTCCAAATCATAAATGCACTTACGATCCGAGGGCCACACTTGCTGTATCTTGCACGACGATGTCCAAGTTGTCATTCACTGTGCGCAGGTACACAGCAGCTGCTGAGCCAACGATGACAGGGCGAGCGACAAATTCAAACTTTCAGTGCTCCTTCGTCACCTCTCCGGTACCGCCAGCTCCGAGTCTGCTTCTGGCCTCCTCGTACTTTCAGCTCCCGAGAGGATTCAGACGATGAAGAAGAGCCTAGCGGGATAGTGTTCGTTAATTGTGGGCGTAAAGACGAGTCAGACTATAGCGATGATCATGATGAAGATGACCGTCTCGAGGACGAGCTTATCACTTCTTTCAACAAGTTCGGTGCACAGCGGTGCGTCTCTTTCCGTTCTTTCCAACATTTCTACAGCTCACAAAAGGCACATGTGCTACTTATATCATCTAGTGTAAATGGGAAAAAAGCCGAAGACCAAAGCCCCTAAGGGCCCTCTTGTCGTGTGACTCCTTCGAAGCGAAATCCTGACCGGCGGGAGGCAGCACGATTCATCCCTGACTCTGAAAAAGAGAATATAGGTGCAGACGTGAGCGTTAGAGGGATTGGAAGTTAGAACGTGTGATACCATCAACTCCGGCCCCCAGCTGTCAGGTATCCAATTCGGCAACAAGAAAGTTCAATTCAATACAAGCACGACGTCTATAGAGACAAATATTACAGTAGAAGAACATGCGAAGGTAGACATGGTAGAAGAGACAGACGACCAAAATGCCCTTCGTGTGCTGCTGGCTGAGGATATGGACTCGGCTTCCCACGTCGATACTATTCTCGTTCCTCCCAGTGAAACCGATACCGTCCAGCAAGACGTCGCTGATATTCCGGATGTTGCTACTATCGATGACTATGCGCGTGTGCCAATTACTGCGTTTGGAGCTGCTATGCTCCGCGGCATGGGTTGGGTGGACGGTGGGGCTGTTACAAGCTCAGAAAGAGCGAAAGATAATGCGCTGGTGGAGCCTTGCCTACCGAAATCACGCCCTGCACTCTTGGGTATTGGAGCAAAGGAGCAGGAGGTGCTGGATTACGGCAGTGAGAAACGGCGAGGAGACGATAAGTGGTATATCCCGCTTGTGAGACAGGAGATCAGTAGGCAGGAAAGCAGGAATGGGGGTGCGACTGTTTCGAGGAGGGCTTCACGGTCACCTGAGAGAAGGAACGGAGCGGGGAGCAGTAGGAGGGATGATAACGTGATTTTAAGAGAGAAAGTGATCGCGATAGGCGACCAGAACGCGACCGTGACGATCGAGGAGACATACCAAGATGACAGGAGAAGAAGTGACAGTAGTGAAAGGGACAGGGACTTGGACCGGAGGGGCCGAGATCGCGATGTTGATAAACGTCATGACAGAGTCCGTGACTATGACGACCGCCATCGACGCAGAGACTGGGACTCTACTATACCTGTGAGCAGGTCTCGCACGTAGATGTATTTGACGTACGCGAGGATGAGCGTGCTGTTGTACTCGCCTGTGATTGAGTGTGTGATATTATGGATTTGTAGAGCTGTTGGGAGGCGGTGTAGTTCCCGAGCGGACTTGGCAGTTAATGAAATGACCTTGCACTCCATGCGAAAAGGGGCCGAACATCCGGTAGTTAGCGCATATATCGTATCACAAAGGAGCACGCATACGCATTTTTCCTTTGTCAAATAGTTGATAGTCCACTCGTCAAAGAGCGTTTATGGCAGTTGCGTTTACATTCTCGACAAATGGCTTACTGATAATGTTCACGGTGTATCCTTGGCTGTTCTGCAAGTTCGCGACTGTGTTTTCGAGGCGGCCCCGAGCGCTGTGGCTGCATGCGAATAAGATGATAGGCGGATAGTTCGTGACCTATGGGAAGAAGTTATTGAATCGATGAAGAGACATGTTTTTTCTGTGTTAAACCAATTGGTGGATGCAGGCCAAGTAAGCATGCAGAGCGCGTTAGATAACGAATGTACATCTTACCTGAACGGTGTCAGGTTCTCTATGCCCTCCTCACTGATCGTGGACATGAATGCGATGGTGCGTGGTACGATGCAGGCTAAAATCAAGAGCTTTTAGACATCGCTGTCGATCGCAGTCACGATTGTGGCTGAACAACAGGTCGAAGTGCACGTACATCTTGTCTGTTTCTGCTGTGTTATAGACTTTCCACTCTGCAGATTCGCCTGCGACCCAGCCTTTTTCCGGCAGAGATGGTGTCGATTCTCTAGATATACGTCCAGGATGGATTGGGTGGAGTAGGCGATGGAGTCGGATAGAGGGATGGACGTGGTGGACTAGCTAGAATCTTGAAGAGAGCGAGGCTGGCTCTGGATTTGTTGCAAATTGTATACATATAGGCTTCAGGCCTCGTGCCCTGCGCGTCTAATGATACACGAAGCAGGTTGAGGCTGTGAAGAAGCACTAAAGGGCCCGGTACAAGCACCCCTGAAACTTAGATCAAGACACCCACAAACTCCCCAGCAAGTTGTGCTCAACACCATCCACCTTGAACAGAATGACGGAAGCAGAACAGCCTGCCATTCAAATCACTACGGCCAGTCGAACATTTGAAGGTCATGAAGATTGTGTCGGGGCAGTCGCAGTCTTCCCCGATAGACGCCGTATGGTAACGGCCTCGGACGACAAGACGCTTCGTCTATGGGACTTAGAAAATGGTGTAGTATTGAAGATAATGGAGGGGCATCGCTTGGTCGTACGAAGAGTTGCAATATCAAGAAACGGGCAATTCATAGCAAGCGGTGATAATGGTGGAGAGCTCATCGCCTGGAACAGAGACGGCGAATCCATCACCCAGCCCATCAAAGTCCACTCCAACAAGCTCCTCTCGCTCGATTTTTCCCCAGACAGCACATTTCTGGCGAGTGGCTCATCGGACACCACAATAAAGCTCTGGAATACAAAAACATGGCAGGTGGAAGGAAATCCAGTCAGTTGCGGAACTGACGCTGAAATCCGCTGCGTTCGGTATTCGCCGTCTGGTGAACATCTTGCCATCGCAACAAAGACAAATATTCAAATATGGAATCCATGCAAGAGGGAATGCATCGCAAAGTTCCAGGGTCACACTGCGTTCAATGGAGCATGGAATACTTCACTCGCGTGGACGCCCGATGGCAAACAGCTTGTCTCGGCTGGTTCTAGGAGTGATTCCACCATACGGATATGGGATTCATCGACCTGGAAGCAGGTCGGTGAGCCCTGGAAGGGCCATGCTAATGCTCTCAACATGATTGCCTTGAACCCTACTGGCACCCTTCTCGCATCCGCATCTCAAGACCATCAGGCTCGCCTTTGGCGGCTTTCGGATCGACGAACCGTCACCATATTCAAGCACACCAATGAGGTGAATTGTGTCACCTTCTCCACGGATGGCAAGCACATCCTGAGTGGAGGAGATGATAAAATGATGTCAGAGTGGGCAGTACCTTTGCTGGAGGAATTTCTCAAGGACAACTTGAAGGCATCAGATGTAAGTTTATGTTCATTTTCCATCCCTTCATCTCATTTTCTCCAAGGATGCGTTGCGGGAAGACACCCTGAAGGAACAAGTGACAAATAATGTGAGTTCCCATTCTTTGCCCGTCTTCTTGCATATTGATCTTCAATCTTGATGCCAAGGCTCAACAGTCTGATTGCGAGGCATGTTTCTAGCCTTCACTCCTACCATGAAATCTGACCATGCATCATGCAGATTCTCACCATCAACACGACGGCCCGCGATGCATGCATATGCGGGGATTTGACCACTGCTGACATGCTGCTCACCCAAGGGATCAACGCTGATAGCAACAACTACAACTCTTATGTGAATCGCTCATTTGTGAAGGCAAGAAATTCAGACTGGGACTGCGCACTTGATGACGCGCTCAAAGTGAGATGCACCGTTCCATCGCGACCTTTTTAATACAGATTAATTTGTATGGTGGTATAGAGCATCAGCATTCAACCATCCTTGATGGGCTGTATCTCCAAGGGCATCGCCCACTGTGGAAAACGACAGTTTCAGGATGCGATGAAAGCATTTGATCTCGCGTTCATGTACGTGGACGCAGACTTGAATAAAACTCGTCTTCTACTCTTGATTAAGGTACGTCGATTGTGTCTCATGTAGTTGCTACTTACACCCCAGCTGTCAGGCCATCGCCCTTTTCAATGCAGATCAACATGACGACGCAATTCTGCGCGTCCAAGAGCTAGCTACCACTCGTCCAAATCCGAATTCTCTTGTATGTGGTATCGTGGAAGTGAGTGCTCCTGACACAGTCAAGTCCAGGTTCCTCGTCGATGCTGATCTTGCGAACCTCGCACTTCAGGCTTATTTACACGTCCAAATGGGGATGAATGCATCAGACGACGCACGTCACAACGAAGCTGCTAGCCACTTCACTGCTGCTGTCAACGCTATTGGTTTCTCGTCTATGTCGGCCATCCATTCTGAATATGATGTCTTCGTGGTGGTAGGTTGATTGCAGTGCAAATAGAAATCAAATTTTCACTCCCCGCTGTGCTTTTCTAGTTATTCGGGTGGGATCTCAAGTCCTTGTGGCGAACTGCACACCAGAATCGGTGCGACGAGCTCCGTCGGGCAGGTAGACTTCCAGAAGCCATCGAAGCATACCGATACATGTCGGATACGGCTGATGAGGCTGCAAAAGCACTCTACCTTGATTGGTCCACTGGCAAGTCTTCATGATTTCAACTGGGCATAATTCTCAACACCGTTTCACTTAGCTTTCAAGCAAGATTTCAGCGTACTCTGTGCTGCGGGCGGAGACGACGCCCTCGCTGCAGGTAATTACGACAGTGCTATCGAGCTTTACTCTGCGGCGATCGACCTTGATGTTGCAACCGATACCATATTTGCGAACCGCAGTAAGGCGAGGTCGGGAAGAATGCTATGGGACGATGCACTCCTCGACGCGGAAAAGGTACGACGACAGCTACCGTGTTGTATTCGACGCTCATTTTCGTGATATGCAGGTCATCAAACTTTCCCCTTCGTCTCACATTGGATATCAGTTAAAGCATGCAGCACTTCATGGCGCACATCGTTATGATGAAGCGATTGACGCATTCCAAACCATGCTCTCGAACTTGGAAATTGCTCCTGACACACAAACACAAAGTACGCCCCTAAATAACCACATCCTCAAACATTTCTGAGTCGTTCTCCAGAGCTGCGCCAACAGTATGCTAATCCATTCAAAGCAGAAAGAGCTATTCTAGAGACCATCAAGGCTCAACTCGACGACGCCCCGCATCGTCTACTCAATACCTTTACTGGGCGCTTATGCAATCGAGAGGTACAGATCGATGCCTTCAAAACGAGCACAGAGTACAAGGAACTTTTGTCATCAACATTGATGCACATCGATTTCCGAGAGGAACGCATCAAAGATGTCGTGGCGACGTACTTCCGTTGCGTCACGCTATCGCATCGGTGGGAAGGAAAGGAACCACTGCTGCACGACATCCAGGACAAGGTTGTTGATGATTTGAATCCAGTTGGCGGTATCACAAAGTTGCAGTCTTTCTGCAAAACTGCTCGTGCTGCGGGGTATCGCTGGGGGTGGATTGATTCATGTTGCATCGACCAGGCTAACAACGTTGAACTCCAGAAATCGCTCAATTCCATGTTCGTCTGGTATCGCACCTCAGCGCTCACGATGGTCTACCTGTCGGATGTTCTGCCTTCGTCGAAGCCGGGCTCACTGTCAGGGAGCGCATGGAACACGCGAGGATGGACCGTACCGGAATTCCTGGCCCCGAAAGTCATCCGCTTCTACCAAAGCGACTGGACCCCGTATCTCGACGACCACTCTCCCAACCACAAGCAGTCTGTCGCGATCATGCAGGAGTTGGAAGATGCAACGGGGATAGATGCACAAACCCTTGTCGCCTTCCGTCCTGGAATGATAAACGCCCGCGAGAAACTGCAATGGGCGTCCACGCGTGTCACCACGGTAGAGGAAGATATCGCGTACTCATTATTTGGCATCCTTGGTGTTCAGCTCCCTGTCATGTATGGTGAGAAGAAGCAAAGCGCGCTCGGGCGGCTCTTGCAGGAGGTCGTAGCTCAGTCGGGTGATATCAGTGCCCTGGACTGGGTAGGGCAATCATCCGAATTCAACAGCTGTCTGCCTGCCGACATCAATTCATACGAAACCCCGTCGTACGCTTTGCCATCTATATCTGAAGATGATATGCAGAGATCGGTCTCGTCGCTGCAAGATGCTGTTGTTGTCGAGTTAGCTTTGAAATTGTACAACTCGCTCGACCGCTTGAGCGCTCCACGTTTTGCTCACCGCCGGCTGCATTTGCCATGCATAGCATTCCCTGTCACACAAATTAGACGGAGATCCACTGAACACAAGGAAACCTACTTCACGTATGAAGTCAAAGCAGACGGGCTTCACGATCTGAAGATCACCACGGAGGACAGGTTGCTTCAGTTCTCACGAGGCAGACCCACTCGACAGTCATTCTTACTCGTCCGTCCCTGGGATCGTCGTCTGTTCGAGCTGCCTGACTACGCAGATGATACAGAGAGCATGGATGAAGAGAGCGTGGTTTACAATGACGATGAAGCCGACGATGACGATGAGGAATTGTGCTCAGGAGAGGGCCCGGTTGATTCGGAATTGAGCAAGTGTGCCGCAATGAGATTGATTGTCCGCCTTGGACAGCCGTTCAGCGCATTCCTGCTTGCGCAGCAACGCGGCGGAGAATACAAGAGAATCGCATCAGATCATGATATCATTACACAAGTCAAAGACGTGAAATCTGTTCATGGTATGATGGACGTCAGGACACTCGAGATATTGTAGCTATGTTTGCTCATTTGTTTTAGAGGAGATAGATCTCAGTAGTTTTTATTCTCGATGTTTCCTTCTTTACATATGTATGTACCCGATCATTTACTTATGGTGTCTCACCCTTGACTCCTACTTCAATGGGAGGAGGGCTTTGTCGAACGCAAAAAAGTTAACTTCCCATTACTAACAAGATGTACGAGATTGCTGTACTTGTGTCCGTATGTACCCGCCATGCAGATTTCACAAACTCAAATCGCAATTTGCATTGCTACATACAAGGACAGAGATTAGATGTGCCATTCTCATCATTTCCTGGTACTAGTAGTAAGTACTGCCGTCTGTGCCTTTGATATTAATCCCTTGTCAATAACTGTTGTCAAGTTCGAATTACTTTCGGCCGACGTGTAGCTCGACGACTCGGATAGATCCTAGGCTATGTTGTCACGATTGGCACAGGTATGACATGTACGTAGTATTCGGCTCGTAGGTGATCCTGTATGCATCTCCAACGCGGGAATATGAGATGTCGTCCAAACGTGTGACAGGCTTGAACTTTGGGAGGTCGATGACACCTTTGTCTGTGAGCACTGTGCTCACCTGCTGATGTTTCTCCTGGTCAGATGGAAGAAAAGACATAGTACTGCGTAGGTATCGATTATTGTTGTCGAAGGACGAGATTTGAATACTTGGGCGGCTTCCAACTTCGATCCTGACAAATGGGAGCCCATATTGGCATATATATATCTGTTGACGACCTCAGGATTGACTTTTGGGGATCAGGATGCAGCTGCGGAGGCTAAAATGTTTTTGTCGTTCATGATTGGAGATAAGGTCAACTATCGAATTGTACGGGTCGGATTCTGTGACGCAGAGCGGTGATGACGTCTTGAAGAATCGAAGTGTTTTCTATGAGCTCCCGGTTCTGTTGAATATATATCGTGGCTCGTGACACGTTTCTTGCATGAAAATAGGCGGGTGAATTGCTTAAATATAGTACTGGAACATATCTGATGGAATGTCATGAAAGCGCGAAACCCGTGGATGTATCATGTTACTGAGCACTGAGCAGTGAGGGCGACCAGCATCGAAGTCAGGGTTTACGAGGTTCTCGGCAAATCAAAGACAACGAGAAGTCTTCAATTTACACGCAGGCTACAGTGATGTGGTTAAATGATGAGGAGACAGCAATCTCGACGTTGGACCCTGGTGGATATCAACCGGACCATGAAGTTTGTCGTTGAACTAGGTCGGAAGTAAAGAAGAGAGGTGCATAATTTGAAAATGATATCGGGCTATCGGCCGGCGATACGAATGCCGTCGGACCTTCACCGTCCAACCGTTCCCACGGCTAGTGTAGGAGTTCTGCTCTACTAGATCTAGGCGCTGCACGGTCATCGTGGTGTACGACATTCCTAACAATGACACCAATAGTGGTATTCAAAGTTACAGCCGTTTGCATATGTAATGGTACTGGCACCTCGATGTAAAACAAATGATAACATAGACTGAAAAAGGACTTAGCGATATTTTTACAAGACCTGCATACCACAACCATCAATATCATGGGCAACAGAAAGATTTCAGCTGATTTGAAGTTTGCAGCTATTCGCCTGCATGAACAAGGGATTCTTAGACTCAGCGAGATCCTCGACTGTGTTGGCTTCTCCCGCATGACATTCTATAGAATGCCATCAAGAAGCTCCACAACCACCTGTTAGTGGGGGAAGGATATATCCAAACTGGCTTATTAGCCAAAAACCCTGATACATCATTCAGTTTAGCTATCCACTGTAACACTATCTAGGTTGATGTATCTAGGCATATGCACGGGTACAGGTAACCCGTGCGGGTCACGGGTACGGGTACCACTGGGGTACGGGTGGGGGTCGGGGATCAAAAACCTGCGGGCTAACCTGTACCCCTGGCATACCCGTGCCTTCCTAATGTGGTAATTGTTTGGCATTCAGTTGTTCAAAGTATCACTAACGCTTCCTCTTTATACTCGTACTATTAGATCTTATTGTTGCTGACTCTAGGTAATGCTGCTCTCAAAACTTAAAGGTATGTTTTCAAAATCTATGTATGTATGTACAGTACATTACTTACAAGTATTTACACCCTTTTTTCAATATCAGGCACTTGTCTGCGCACAGCGCCGCTATCCAACCTCAACCTCATTCTCCATCCTCTGCACTCATCCACACCCTGCTGCTATGCCCCTCCATCTTCTTCAACACAACACCTGTGAGTGTGTCAGTCCTCCTTTGAGCTCGAGCCACGCTGATCGAAGTCTGCTGTTTGCAGGAGGTGAATGTGTTGATCCTCCTTCGAGCTCGAGCCACGCTGATTGAAGTCCACCGTTCGCGGGAAGTGATGCGTTGATCCTCCGAGCTCGAGCCATGCTGATCGAAGTCATTTCCTGCTGTTTGTAGCATGGGTGTGTCAATCCTCCTTCGAGCTCGAGCCATGTTGATCAAAGTCGTTTCCTGCTGTTTGCAGGAGGTGAGTGTGTCGATTCTCCTTCGAGCTTGAGCCATGCTGATTGAAGTCGTTTCCCGCTGTTCGCAGGAGGTGAGTGTGTCAATCCTCCTTCGAGCTCGAGTCATGCTGATCGAAGTCATTGCCCGCCGTCTGCAGCGTGTCGGCGAGTTTGTCCTTTTTCACAATCGTTTTTTCATATTTTTATAATTGCTAACTTAATATTTATATGTATTACCCGTGGGTAAACCCTGCACGGGTGCGGGTAAGGGTATGAGCTCGTCGTACCCGCCAAAAACCCGCACCCATCAGAGCGGGTACGGGTTTTCGCCGGGTACGGGTGTGGGTAAGGCCTCTGATACCCGGGGGTATACCCATGCAGTTCCCTAGATGTATCCTTGGGTGGATCCCAGCAGTGGCTTCTGTATACAGTACACTTTTTCATAATGCATACATTAGTAATGTATAAATCTCATCTTGTATCGAGTTTTGGCAGCTCCCATCATGGTATGCGGGTAGATGCCCGAAAAATTGTATAATGTATAATGTATAGCCTTCGGAGGTCCGATATACACTATGAGATATGGTTTGTACCGAGTAGGACTACTGCGGAGTTGCCGAAAACTGATGCATAACAATGCAGTAAGATGGAAAATTTTATAGTCAATCTAGTCCCAATGGTGCGCAGCCCTAAGAAATGCCAGTCACGTCCAAAACCTGCCCCATACAAGTGGAAACCAAAGACACCTCACCAGAAAGATGGTCCTGCAACATCTACAAAGCATTCCGATACTAGCAGGCGCAAGAATCTTACCTTGAATGACTGGCTGATGGTGTTTGCATACATCAATGAACATCCAGACTTACCCCAGGATCATATTGTTCAGCATTTCAAGACACGAAAAGAGGGGGTGCTTGAGTTCACCCAGGCAACCCTATCATGAAAATTAAAGGACCGCATGCACCTTGAGCAACATATTGAGTCATACCCCGGCGCTCTCTTGAGTAAACAGCCGCGTGTCGTTACCCCCGCCCTGATGTTGAAGAAGCACTTGTGGAATGGACCACAAGCATGGAGCAGAAGGGTGAGAGTTACACTGGAGCAATGCTCCAGGAGAAGCGGTGGAAGCTCGAAGAGAAGTTTGGCGTTCCAGAAACAGAACAGCTAATTGGTGATGGCTGGATAGCCCCTTTCTGCAAAGCATACAATATCAAAGAATACCGGTGTCATGGTGAGGCCGGATCAGTGGATATAGAAGCAGTGAAACACAAACGGTTGCGAGTGGGATGTCTCCTATCAACTTTCCCAGTGCGAGACCGCTGGAACTTTGATGAATCAAGTCTGTTTGCAATGTAAGTCACTCGTCAGTGTTCAGTTCAAAGAGGAACTAAAATGAATTAGGGCACCTCCTGATCGTGGCCTTGCTACACATCAAATGAGTGGGAAGAAAAAAGAGAAATTTAGGGTGACCCTTGGTTTTGCTACAAATGCAGATGGAAGCGAGAAGCTTCCACTTTTCTTCATTGGTTACTCCCAAAAGCCCCGATGCTTTGGTGGCAAGTCACCACAGAGTGCCGGGTTTTACTATCGAAACAACAAGAAAGCATGGATGACAAGTGAATTGTTCAATGAGTAAGCGCTCTAGATCAGGTTGCATCACATAAAATTTACGCAATAAAACAAGGTGGATTAAGGCACTCGACATCAAGATGGGGATCTGACAACGTCACATCTGCCTTCTTATCGACAATTTCTCTGGGCACAAAATCACATACAAACCGCTTCACATCCAGCTTGAATTTTTTGAGCCAAATTTAACTTCATTTGTTCAACCTCTCGATGCCGGAGTCATTCATTGCTTCAAGGCTCACTACCGTCGAGCATTCTGTCTCCATGCTATTGAACTTGATGAAGCTGGTAATCGTGATATCTATAAAATAAACCTTCGAGAAGCCATGGTCATGGCGCAAGAGGCCTGGGATGCTGTCGAGTCATCCACCATTCAGCATTGCTGGAATCACGCAGGAATCCAAGCCAACTCTCCGGCACCTTCGTCTCACCCTCCCCATGCAGACCCGGGTGCATGGAGCATCATCTGCCAGTTTGCAGATACTGATGACATGACCTTGCCTCAGGCCGAAGCTTGCCTGAAAGAACACCTTGGCAATAATTATGTTGAGGGGGACTGGGTGGATGCCCTCAAAGCTGTTATGGACGCAGAGGGTGACAACATCAAAGCGGCCGAGACTGTTGAGAAACTTGCATCAGTTGCATGTCGACAAACTGGGCTCACTATCAAAATTCCACCTCTCACCAAGTCACCTCAGCTCCAAACTCTTGAACATGGATTGATGAAGTCCATAGAGGAGCTTACAACACGAAGATGGATCATTGGCACGCCACTGTCTGTTGACGAGATTCTCAACCCTCAAGAAGAGAAGAACATTGGGGAAGTAACTGTTTATGAAGATGATAATGCAATTGTTGCAGAAATTTGGCGCCGGCAAGGAATTAGGAGCGGGGAGCTGGTTGAAGTAGAATCAGATGATGAAGACGAGGATGATCAACCCAAGGTCTGTGTTGCTGAATTGATTCCACTGTGTGAAAAGCTCGAAGTTGCGTGTATTGCGCGAGCTGGCGCTGATTCTTCACTTGATCTTATTCACAAATTTCGTGCATTCCGAGCAACACTACGGCACGAGGAATTGCAGAATGCAAAGCAGGCTACATTGGATCAATTATGGAATTCTAAGTAACATACCGTTTCGATGTACTCGCTGAATGTATTGATTTCTGGACCATGCGCAAGTAGCGCGCATTGACACCCCCAATCTTGGTTGACCCCTCTGCCGTGGGAATTATTTGGTAGTGTATATCTCTCATATTGTATAGCGAAAAGGCAGCTCCCGTCGCTATACATTATGAGAAAGTGTACTGTACATCATTCCCAGCATATTTTCGCATTTTGGGCCACCTACTGTGGGAATTTCCCCACAACACCAAAAACATCGCCCATTTTGGGAATCTCCACAATATCAATTATTCCCACACCCTCCCCACCTTACTGCAGCTTCACCACTACACCAAAATAGGTCCCCCCTTGTATCTAAGTAGTAGTTTGGTATATACATGTATAATATACTATAATAGACCGCTTTTTTTGTTTATTTGTATGTCTCCTCCTCCTCCAGGGGCCATTTAAAATAGGTTAGGGTATAGAACACTTTCGCACTTTTGCCCCTTTAATAGAGAAGTGTTCTAGGATCTTCAGACCATGTTTAAGAATATATATGAAGAGATTCCAATCTTTATTTGACCCCCTGAAGCGCCCTACATCAATAGATATGGCATATATACAGAAAAATACAAAATATGTTCTCATGTATTAATTTCTAGGTACAGAGCCTTTGAAACATGATTCCCGGCATCTATCCAACAGTATTAAAAATGTGTCAGGAGCTCAGGACCATAGGATAAGACCCTGCTGTGTAGTACATCCCCCCTCTCCGGATGGTTTACCTCCTGTGAAATTTTTTCCTGTAGGACCGGATCTCAAGTATTGCATGGGGTCCATTCCTATGCATATTTAGAGTATATCTATTACCTAGCTACTCCAGAATATCCACAGGGTCCTTCCACAGGAACATAAATATAATATATTGCAATTTTGACATTTTTGATATTTTTCATTCCCTTACTCTTGCACAAATAATCCAAGCTGGTCATATATCATCATTTGGGCACAGATATATGCTTTGTATCCCCAGGATCAGCTCATAATAGGCCGGAGATTTCAGATAATCTATATACTTACTATTTCTACTGATTAGGGGCCCATACCTTTAGGGTATCGAAATTTAATGATCAGACACTTGGAGTGCATGTCATATATATTCAGTATCACAGATCTCAAATTTCAGAAAGATCCATCAAGTATTAAGTGAAATGAATGCAAAAGAACATATGTGTGAAAAGTGACAATTGACACATCACACAGAATTCACATTTGTATATGATATAGGTCAAATATTTCATTAAATTTTGATAGAATACATATTAGACTACACAAGGAACCTATACTACACTTTGCCCTGAGAGTGGAAGGGATGTGGAAGGGATGTGGTGGTGAAGTCAGTTGATGCAGCATAAAAGTCCTACAACTTCTTAACTGACCACTTTCGATGTGTTGAGCATTTGAAGTTTCCCACACTCAATTTCTTATCTATTTACTTCCCCAGTCCTCAATCCTGGGTAGATCTTTCTATAACTTTAGTCCTATGATGCTGAATGTATGTGAGATGTACTACAGATGTCTGATCATTAAATTCTGATGTTTTAAAGGTATGGGCCCCTAATCAGTAGAAATAGTAAGCATACACATGATCTGAAATCTCCGGCCTATTATGAGCTGATCCTGGGGATACAAAGCATATATCTGTACCCAAATGATGATATATGACCAGCTTGGATCATTTTGCAAGAGTAAGGGAATGAAAAACATCAAAAATGTCAAAATTGCGATATATTATATTTATGTTCCTGTGGAAGGACCCTGTGGATGTTCTGGAGTAGCTAGGTAATAGATATACTCTAAATATGAATATGAATAAACACCCTACACTTCTTGAGGTCCAGTCCTACAGGAAAAAATTTCACAGGGGGTAAACCACCAGGGGAGGGGGATACATTACACAACAATCTCTTGTCCTGTGGTGATGAGCTCCCCACACATTGTTCCTACTATTGAATAGGTACTGGGAATGATTTTTCAAGTACATCCACCTAGAAATAAACAAATGGCAACATATTTTGTGTTTTTCTGTATATATGTTATATCTATTGATGTAGAACGCTAAAGGGGGTCAAATAAAGATGTGATTCTCTTCATATATACTCATAAACATGTTCTGAATGGCCTGAGACACTTACACATCAAAGGGGCAAAAATGCGAAAGTGTTCTGTGTCCTACTTCATTTTAAAAGGGTCCTGGAGGAGGAGCAGCATACAAATAAACAAAAAAAGCGGTCTATTATAGTATATTATACATGTATATACCAAACTACTACTTAGATACAAGGGGGGACCTATTTTGGTGTAGTGGTGAAGCTGCAGTAAGGTGGGGAGGGTGTGGGAATAATTGATATTGTGGAGATTCCCAAAATGGGCGATGTTTTGGTGTTGTGGGGAAATTCCCACAGTAGGTGGCCAAAAATGCGAAAATATGCTGGGAATGATGTATACAGAAGCCACTGCTGGGATCCACCCAAGGATACATCAACCTAGATAGTGTTACAGTGGATAGCTAAACTGGATGATGTATCAGGGTTTTTGGCTAATAAGCCAGTTTGGATATATCAATATGACAGTATGGGCTGCCACAACGACACTGGTAACATTGTCAAGCCAAGGAGCCAATACACTGGTTGTCCACGCATTTTCAATCTCGAAGACCTCCATTACCTTCTAGAACTTATCCATCACCATCCTGATTGGTTTCTTGATGAGCTGACAACACTTATGCGACACAATCACTACAATCGCCGTCCATTATTCCACAATTCACCGAGAGCTTGCACGGGCTGGCATCTCACTCAAAAAACTCCACAAGATTGCTAAGGAGCGCAACGAAGATGTTTGTGCAGACTTCAAGCGACGGGTGGTGCAGTATACACCAGATCAACTGTTGTTCATTGATGAGACATCGAAAGATGAACGCACACAAATTCAGAGGTATGGACGAGCAAAGAGGAGCCGATATGCAAGCATGAAGGGTGCATTTGTTCGTGGACGACACTTCACAGTTGTTGCTGCTTTGACTATAGATGGAATCATTGCAGGACATGTTCTTGAAGGATCTTTGCATCGCAATGGGTACCTTCACTTCCTCGAACATTCTGTTGTGAGTCAGGACTCATCACACTTGACTTTTTTCGTCAATTCATGTTCATTGATAGCTGCCCAACTGTGAGGCTTATCCTGGCAAGAACAGTGTGTGGATCATGGATAATGCCTGTTACATGGTATCTATGTACTCAGTGATGCTGACTCAGAGCAGGTGTACGAATCGTATTTTTACCTCCCTACTCCCCTGACCTCAACCCGATCGAGGAAGCCTTTTCAAAGTTCAAGGCATGGATTCGTCGTAACTATGACCTGTTTTCTGCAGCAGCAGACAATGATGGGATTATGTATGACCTACGAGAGGCCCTGGAGATCATTACGGTGGAGGATGCACAGGGATACATTCGTCATTCAGGGTACTTCTAGAATACAAACATTATCAATAATTGAGAGCAGTGTATGAAGTAACAGTAGCAAGAAACAACAGAACATGCAGAGTGAGAGTAGTGAGAGACAACAGAACATGCAGAGCAAAAGTAATGGTAAAAAAATGTAACGTGTAACAACTATTCACCACACCAACGGGCAACTGCATCCTTGAGCTCAGCAAGCTCTCCACAAAGCAAGCCCACCTTTTGCAAATCATCGACAGTGACATAACAAAGGGCATGTGATGACGTGAAACCATGATCGGAAAGTTTTGACTGAAGAATTTGTGAAAGTTCATAAGCAGAGCAAAAGTCCATTAGGTTCATTCTCGGTCCAAGGGAAGCAAGTTGTGTCGATGAGAGCAAAGAGCCGAGAGAGGCTGGAACAGCAGGTGGTAATACAGCAGGTGGAAGCAAGGCAGAAGCTGGTGCATGATGGACAGGTTGTGAGCCAGATGCTGCACGTATAGCTTGGAACATTTCAGGAGGAAAATTGATGTTGATAACAGGCATAGCTTGTGCTGGTGCAGGTGCGACAGGTACAGCCTCAGCCTGAGTGGCTTTCTTGGATTGTTCGTCGAGCTGTTGGTGGCGGACGGAAAGAAGTGAGGGCCGCCCAAGAGAGTCGGAAGAAATCATGCTGAAGGAAGAATGGTTAAGAGGCATCTCAAGAGTGGCATACTCTGGCCCTTTTTCCTGTGCAGTGTTCAAAGTGAAACGGTCAATAAAACATTCAAAAACGAATACCAACCATTGCAGCTGCCCAGCATTCGAGAAGGGGAAATGTCAGACGGACATGAGATCCATTGTCACCAGGGTTTAGGTAGCAGTAGTCGCTCAAGCAGCCTGGATTTTTGTGGCAAACCCACCGATCCGATAATGCCTTGATGTTCTTGTTGATTGGTTTCATCTCTTCGTCTATGTCAGCAGCCTTTGGTGCCTAAACTTTTCGTCAACCAACATTGAGATAGTATAGAATGATGTGTTACCTTTGTTTTCTTCTTCTTCTTGCTCCTCTTCTTACCGTCATCACTCGATTCTGAGCTGCTATGATTGTTATCCTCATTTGTTTCTCTATTGTTCTCCTTGTCTGATGGCCGGTCCTTGCGCTATCAGACTCAAATTAGCTCATAAAGAAATCACACGCAGTTAGCACCTTTTTCATGGCTGAAAGCTCTTGGATATAAATAGTGGCAGCAGGTGTGCTCATTCGCTGCAGATGTTTGATGAGCTCTTGATAATCATCTTCATCTGTGAGTGAGGTTGGCTGCGGAGCGATGTGAATGATGGTAAAGAAAGTCTTGTAGTTTTCGAAGGACAAGATGGTTGGATTGGTCTCTTTTCGATCTTTCGAAGAACTTGTGCTTTGAATGTGTCAAAAGGCTCGTCAAGATAAAGGCTGAGAATGGTTGCTGTGCCGACACATTTCTTGATGTCATGTTTCTTGAGCTCACTGTGCAGCAGAATTGTGATGCTGTATGTTGCCTTGATACACAGTGGAGCCACTTGAGCAGGTAAAACCTCTGGCTCATTGGGAGGGGGAGTCGCCACAAACAGAATATATGTGCAACATTTCTTTTTTGACTTGACTTTAGGTGCTTGAAGAGGCTCTGCAACTGGAATAGGCTCTACAGCTGGAGGCAGAGCAGCCATGGCATCTAGTTCACGATCTATACTGTCTTGAGTATCGAAATTGAAAATGCTTGCATCGGATACAAATGCTGTCAATGACCCTGAGCTATCAGAATCGGAAGATGTCGACAAGATGTCAAGGATGCTGCCATCGTCATCCGAGCTATCAGAGTCGTCGATGAACTCTGTGCTTTTGAATGTCTTCAGGTTACAACCCATGTTGCCACAGTAGACTCGGAAGCTAAGATATCACAGTACTACAACTCGTTAAAATATCGCTAAGTCCTTTTTCGGTCTATGTTATCATCTGTTTTACATAGAGGCGCCAGTACCATTACATCAGCAACCCTGGATTTTCCCTGATTTGCCTGCATTGTCTGATAGCAGACCCACCAGTCAAATCATACATATCAGTCATTCAGATTTTGTCTGAAATCAGACAGGTCTCATCTGAAATCAGACATGTCTAGGTCTATCAGATGTTAGGTATAGCAGAGACCTCAGACATGCAATTCCTCAGCACCATCATGCTTATCACAAAAATCAAATGGTGGAATGGACAAACACTCGGGGCCTTCAGCCAGTCAGATGTGCAGAGCATCAGTACATCATTATGTGCAGACTGTCATACAGTCAGGCACTCAGTCACTTCCACCCTATCAAATACTTGTGTGTTTCAGATGATCAGATCACCTTATGGTCAGCTAGTCATATGGATAGACTGTCATATGCTCCAGTGCACAGCCTATCAGATACATAAGTCATTCAGATTGTCCAATTTTCAGGCTAACAGATGCACAGGCCTACTAGGATGCCACAAATCTCAGTAAGGCATTACATCAAAACTATCTGTAACTCAGGCACACAGCCAATCCGCTCTATCAAATATTCAAAGGTGTCAGCGAGTCATTATGTCAAGACTATTGTATGCTCAGGTACTCAGCCACATCAGCACTATCAAATACTCAGACCATCCAATTTTCAAATTAACAGATGTGCAGCTCATCCAGGAAGTCATGACTCTCAGTACCTTACATTATCATTACCCTCAACCCAACAGGTAAACCAGAAAGTCATAAAGCTCAATGCATTACTTGAAACAATTACAAACATGAATAGTAGCAGTCAATTAAACCATCAGCGATATGTCAGAGCCGGAATCCGAATGAGAGTCTTCGTCAATACACATGGCTCGACCATTCACACCTACACCCTTGGCCTGTACCTGTGCCCGCCGAGTGGGACGTTTCCGATGAGCATCTATGAACGGAGCAGCACCCTTGAAAATTTTCTTCCGTTTGCGACGAGTAGCGTTGTCGATAGATTCCATGATGAGATCAGTGCTAAAACTCCAGAGCCCCTCCGTGAACTGTTGGTGTGTTAACTTAGATGGTTTCACAAACTGTCCCGTTGACCACATGTTCCATGCTCGTTTGACCTGTAGATGAACATGAAGATATTCATGTCTCGAAGTAAGGGAGAATACATATAGCAACTGTAGCGATAGACAACCCGCCCTTGGGCATTTCTTTACGACGGTAAGTGCTTGGGAGGCTATGAACATACTTGAGGTACAGCACGAACGTGTCGAGGATGCAAGGATCTTCGAAAGCTCCACAGTAAGCCTGTCAACAACGTGAGTAACTGGCACCATATCAATAATAGCACTTACATCTGCATCTGCCTCGTCCCCGATACACTCTTTCCACATGTAAGGATAAACCGGAGGATTGACGAGGATAGTTTCTCCCTTATCATTGACACACTTGTGCTGTTTCGGAGTTACATATGTGATGACTTCACAAATCTCTTTGGGCGTCCAGCCCTCCTTGTCAATGTGCTTCGCTATTACAACTTGGGCACGCACTCCAAAGTCACTGTGGTAATCATACGCGCATTGCATAAGCTAAACGGTCAATAAAAACGAGGTCAGTGTGTGCAAGTCAAAATCAAGCACTTATGATCCTGTATACGGGATCATTCACCCTAGAAACTGTGTGTGGGATGTTTGGCATTGCATGGTCCCACATGGATTGCATCTCCTCAGCGAAGTCAGATATGTCCCACATGTTGTCGAGGCAGGAAATGAACTCAATCCACATGGGAATGACGAGGGAATCAAAAAGGCGATGCAAACCTGGGGGAAGATCATTTTTCATAAATTTGATATGACTAGGTGGCGCACGTGACTGTGCATCGGTGTTGTCGTCCTCGTCGGCATTATTGCCATCAGTATCTTCGTCAGTGTCAGGTTCACGACCTTTGAGGTGTTGTGCATTTTTAGCAGCCTAGATAGACTTGAGCGCAAGTCAGAGAGCAAAAATAGGTAACACGTACTTTAAAGGAGTGAGCATTAAGTGACTTTTTCTGTTTCCAATTTGCGGCTGCTCCATCGTTACGGCCCCCCTTCGTATCTGCGTCCCTGTAGGATTGACGGAGCTTGGACTGTGCTTTGTCCTTAATAGATTACACATTAGGGGAGTCGTAAGTCGCAGAGGAAGAAAAAGACTTGCCTTACTGTAGCCAGCCTTCGATGCAGCCATGCCATTCGATCAATCTGGGTCGGTGGAGTTGGCTTGTGGGCCCTGACTTACAGGTGGAGGGCATGTGAGTTGGTGGCCAGCTACTTTCAACTAGAATAAATAAACTTGTGATTAGTGTGAACAAAAGCCAATGAATAGAGAAAAAATGCACCTTTCGCATGTAGTGCCTGTAGGGTTGCGCAATATAGCAACTGCCCTCATTCTCCCTGCCTTTTTGCTCGTCCAGTTGCCCATCCCATTCCCTGTCATATTGCTCGTCCCGTTCCCCATCATATTGCTCGTCCCGTTCCCCATCACATTGCTCCTCCCATTCCCCATCACACTGCTCGTCCCGTTCCCCGTCATATTGCTCGTTCTCCTGTTCATTCGGTTTCTTGTTGTGCGTGACCAGAGGAATGGGTGCTGGTTGCTGGGATGCACGAGATGTTGTGGAGACAGAGACAGATTGGTCGGGTATCTTGGAAGGAGGTTTCTACAGTAGATATAGAAGTTTGTAATTAGTATACTGAATGCAAAAGAAAGAAAAATACCTTGATTATATCAATTGACAAAGGAGCCAATAGCGGATCGTTATCTTCGAGTACAGGTGCCTTCGTCGTTGAGCACTGATTCGCATCATCTTCGAGGTCTTCGTGTTCATCCTCGAACCCACCAGGATGGACAGTGTTGCGAGGTACTACACCTTAGAAATTGAGTGAATCAATGCAATAAATATGTAAGAAAATTGGTACGCACCTGCTGTCTTGGCTGTTAAAGAATTTGGGGGTACCGCTACCGGTAGGTCTGCGAGAGGAATTCAGAACTTCTTTGGCTACTAACTGACGCCAGTTTTCATGAAGGCCACTCAGTGACGGTTGAGAAGAAAAATGTAAGATGTCAGGCTTATGTTTTTGATTGGAGGGCCTGCATTTGGACGGTAAGGGTGTGCGTATCAAGTCCATGAGTGATGTTGATAAGTGTTGATCAACGTTGATTGGAGTTGTCACTGTGAGTCAGCAGTTGTTGTTCTTGAGCGCTAAAGTGACGCTTACCTCTGGCCATCATTGTCACTCAGGGCGCGATCTTTGCCCTTTCGCCGTTTCTCTCCAACAACTCCAACATCTTGATCAGTATCACCTGTCTCATCCCCTTCCAGTACTTCACCCCTGTTTTCCAACATACACCTTTTTACGGCCTCAACATCTTTGTGGACCTTCTGGGACTTTGTGAGTGGCTGTTCAGGACTTGCTGGTGAGTTGTCGTTATCTCTGGTCTCGTCTATATCACGCTTATCTTGATCTACTAGCATAACGTCCTCTTCCGGTCGGCTGGGTTAACCAAGTCAAAACACAATCAATCAATCATGTACGTATGTCCTTTGCTCTGAATGATTTAGACTTCTGATTGCTGCTCGCAGTTCGAGGTTTCTTCAGCACCTTTGACGTCGGTGGGTGACTCACTTGCTTAGCCTGCTGAGCATCCATCTCTGCCATCTCCAGCTCGAGTTGAGCTGCAGCCTTTGTTGCTGCAGCTTTCTTTGCCTGTTTGGTGACTCTCGACGTCGGTCCAGGCTTCTTTCTTGACCTTGACCTTCTCATACGGGAACACTTCCCTTCATCACTGTCGTCGTCGTCGTCATTGATGTCACTTTCACCCAACTCTGACTGTACTTGTTTATGAGCAGGTAAGTCTACCTTACCTGGATGCTTCTTGTTTGATGGTCGGGTTGCGACCATTTCTGCAGTTGGTGATGACGAGCAGCTGTGACAATCTACACAGAAGCAACAACACAAGTTCAAGTTCCGCTAGCAGGAAGACTAATTATTCGCGACTTTGGAACAGCTTTACTCAATTTCTCACGCGCAAATCCAGTAAGTTTGTACATTGGTGTTTTAATTGATTAACTTTTCTAAAATGTGCATCTGAATTCTAGAGTACATGGCCAGACATTAGTTTCGACTATGTGAGGAAGTGTATGGCTTTGGTGCTGGATGCTTGCCCACTTACTGCATCACCTCTCATTTTTTACTTTGTACTTTTTGGCTTCTTTGTTGTGGTTACCGTGACGAGTATCTCATACAGAACTTGGGTGTGTAGTGTAGTCCTTAAAATTTTAATCATGAACCAACTGAGATTCTCATTTATTTGATTTACTGGGCGCAAGGACGAGATATAAAATTATGACTACCAACAACATGAACATGTATGACATTTATACTAGGTAGTGTGTACAAGGTGGAGCTGCAAGGTAGGAGAAGAAGGATAAATCCAGGATGCAGTGGAAATCACTGAATAACAAATGTGAAGGTGTTGAAAACAAAGGTCGCAGTTTGGGAACTATGGGACAATGGGAGGGAAAAGACCATTGGTACGGAGGGAAGATCCATCAAGTTGCACGTGTCGTGAAAGCTGGAACGTCTCTCAAATTTGAACTTGAGAAACCAGAGATTCGGAGATCACAGTGATTTGCTCAGTTCTTGGGGTTTCGGCGCATCCTTCAAGTCTGCGTGCCAGATAACCTTACCTATGATCAAGTTGGCTCGGTACTTCGGGAATTCTTGATATCCTGTTAGACTTGTTCTTGATCTCGCGCCAATAACGATAACCAACAAGGAGGATCAATAGGAAGAGGCAATGAGGGAGGGACACTAGATCTTGGTGTAGACGTACCGCCCGGTCTTAATGCGCTGTCCACAAAAGATATTATTGACTGGTGGCGACAGTATAGCTAGGCTGCATGTAGCAGGAAAGAGTGGAGGCGAGATTGGTGTGGTGGTTACAGGCAGGGCACTCCAGAAGGGGAATAACCATATGATTGGGTCGGTGAAGTCGGATTGGTATGTGAGGGCGGAAGTTGTGGTGGGTGGTGCTCTCCATGACCAGGAGATTGCCCAACCAATACCAATGCACCTTGGGATACGGAACTTTTTGAATGACGCAGTGAGGCGTTTAACATAGGTGGAAGAGGTCCATGGTTGAGGTTGGGGTGATAGGCTGTGGGTGTGGTAGGGCCAGCCTGTACGCTATGAGTACCTGGATCGCTCACATGGGCCCCGTTCGGGCCAGAAAACACGAAGTTGGATGATGGGAGGGTCAATTGGATGCTGGTCAGCCAAGTGAAGGTAAACTTGTGTGAGAAGTGAGTAAGGTAGCTGACATACCTCATATACCACACATACGGGCCCGTTATGGCTCCTGCTGCACAATATGTCATCAAAGAGCAGATCGAAGGGGTGCCTTTGTAATATGTATGACGACTCAGTCGTCACTAAAGGAATGGCAATGCATTTGTTAGAGTCACAAGTAAAACAAGCGCACACTTACTGTCTGTTCCCTCTGTAAAAACAAATCTATGGCTGCGGAGAATGCAACAAATGCCAATCCGCCACCAAGAGCAGCTTTAGGTCTCGAATTTCACACAAGAACACCTCCAGCAACAAAGCCTGCAGCAACCGGGTTTACTAGAAGGTGAGAGATTAGGTCAAGGGAAACAATGAAAGATAACTTACACCTTCAGTCACACATTCTATTCCGGCAAACAATGCTCCAACTTCTCCAAAGCTCTTTCTGGCCTTCTGTTTATTCATACCGGTTCGAGTGGATTGCGGTAGTAAAGAGTCCCCGTAGGCAAACAATGAGGACATAAGAGAGAAGAATGCGCCAAAGCTGAGGCCTGCCTGATACCAAGCAGCGGGATGGACAAGGAGCGGAGTTTGAACTCTGGATTGATTGGCATAGCCGTTCAACATGACGAGCGGAGTTTAAACTCCTTGACGAGTTCCAGAGTAAGTCATCTGCTCGGTGGCTCCTGGACGACTCAATATTAGCACTTCGTCCTTCATCAGGAAAATATGCTAACTCTATATAGCCCAGTATAGTGCCCTATAGCCCCCCATAGACCATATGGGACCTATAGCCCCATAGCTAAGTCCCCAATTATATAGGCCTGTAGAGCACGTTATAGTGGGGTATAGCACCATATAGTCTGTCTAAAAAATTATATTCATCATAATAGGATCATTTGTATGACTATAACCATCTATACCAGGCTACATTGACCCTTATATCTTCTGTATCCTCTTGATATATGATGTTATACAGACCTATGACATTTCTATATAGCTCCATATCTCAATCAATTCATTGCGTCATCCAGATGATACATTTGTCAAATATTTATTTTACAAAATCTAGTATATCAGTTGACGACAGCATCATCAACATTTGCTACACCAGACATTGGCCTAGCATACTCCTCCATTGCATCAAAATCAACATCAGATTCATCACTGTCGCCTCCCTCTTCTCTAAGCTGGAAACGACAAGCCTCTCTATCATAGTGTTAGTAACAAGATCATATGATTTTAAAACCGCAAAACACGTACCCAATATCAGTCCACAGATCATCTCTCAATTTCTTCATATAGCCTGGAGTCTTAAGGCTATACTCAGTGAGTTTAGACAAGTAGTACTGATGTCTATGTATGACGTTCAGTAATATAACCAAAAAATATCCAAAAAAGTAAAATATATATGCACCTTGGTTGAAACACTGGTTCCTTGAACTCTACTACAACTGGTGTACCTGTGAGCATGCCTTTGTATGCACACTCTATCTGAAGATGCGTTAAGGTTAGTATGAAATATTATTGAATAATAAAACTTACTGAAGCTGCCAAAAGCGCAATAAGATTATCAGGAAGCTTTTGAAATTCTTCCTTGTAAAGCAATCCTTCAGCACCAGCGCCCTGAAAAAATTGGCCCATGAGAAGTTGCTTGATGAGGTGTGTGCGGAAAGGAAGGTTCTTGTTGAAGGTCTTGGCCTGAATACACGTCTAGTCAGTATACATATACAAAGGTAAGAAGTAGATGGCGTACTTAATGTCCATCTCACCACTAAGGAACGGCTCCTTTCTTGTAGATATAACCCAATTAGCTATGTCGGCTGAGGAAGGAAGACAATGTTGAGATTAGATTTAAAAATATATAACCTGAAAAGACATCACCTATTTCCTTGGGACGTAAATGCTGCAACATGAAAATCACATTCTCTCTAGCCTTCCTAGCCAACTCCCCCCTTAACTGAGATGCACCTGACCATACCTAAGAACAGCGTCAGTAAGTATTCATAAAAAATTAGTGAACTTACATATGCCAATGCCCTGCCTTTGAGTGTATCATCTTCACTAATGCGATCAAACATAACCTTCATTGGGGAGCCTGATTCTTTACCAGCCTCCTTGATACAGTTCCAGGCAAAGGCGTCCTGGACATCTACAGAAGGACCAGGAAAGGCGTTCTCCAGGGCAATTTTTACTCTCAGCAGTTGATGAGCAAGATCCACCAAAGGTCCGCATCCATCTTTTTTTAAAGATGCAAGGGTAGTAGGTGGTCTGACTTCACCTTTATTGGCCCCCCTTCTGCGACGCCTGACAGCCATTTCATCTTGCGACTCATCCTTGACTTCTATTAGCTAGATGTAATATTAGTTAGCTATGAAGTCAATTAAGTATAGCAGACGTACACCATTGCCTCTCTTCTTAACCACAGACTGCTCTCCAGCTACGTCTGTCTCTATTGCTGAATCTGCCTCTGGGTGACGCGAATGATCTGAATCTAAAACACATGATTGTTCAAATATACTAGCTGATATGTCAATGATAACTTACCTTCACTGGCTATGGGCGTATTCTTTTCTTAGGGTCCAAGTGAGGCAAAATATCATCAGGATTGGCATCGTCTTCTACTTCTTCATCTGTGTCCATAGGTTTTGCCTTCTTGCTCACTATATCATGGGTGATGTTATCATACACACAAAATCTTGTTGATTACGCACCTTTTTTCCTCTTGTTATGCTCCGTAATCTCATGCTCAGTATTACTCTCTTCTTCATCTAGCATGGCGTCAACATTCTTCCTCAAACCTAATTCAATGCTCTATTAGTTAGCATTTGAATATCATTACATTAGTGAAAAGCATCACTAACCTTTGCGATGATTGAGTTCAGCTTCCTTCTTTTTTTGAGCTTGAAACTTCAGGAATTCGTCATACTGGTCATCAGTTATAATTTTGCTTGCTTTTGTCTTGCCTTTATTACTAGCAGGAGGAGCTGAGGAAGTAGGGGAAGGCGGGTCTTTTGCCTTTGCCTTTCACTCGCATAGTGATGATAGGGTAGTAGTGAGAAAAGTGGTTCGTGTAAAAATGTAACCTGCTTATATGAGACCATGCATGTAACGTAACAAAAGGTCTACAGAATCTGGTGCATTGCAATTCTAGTGTAAGTTATACAAAAGAATGCATAGTATTGTGTCTACCCATCCATTTTGATTCCTAATCCATGATGCAAACTCCTTGTCAGTCTGGAAAACCAAGGACGCCCTCCCCCCCCTGTAGTCTAGGTTGAAATGGGTTACCTCACTAGATCTGAAGATAGCTATGTCACCATTGCGCAACTCCAGAACTAGCCCATTCTCCAACAAGCACAAGGCCCCCCCCTCAAAGTGTCCAATAGGTATCACCAAACATAGATGACGATCACCGCTGTCTCTATGAGCTTTGGTGCGAACATTGATGTTGATCACTAGAGAAATGAAAGGAACAACGGGGGAAGAGCGTTGCCAGGCAAAACTGAGGCGACCTCCATCAGCATTTCGAACTCTTCTTGTAGGTAATTCTCCATCTACCATTGAAACAATTTAGCGCTTGGATGCTACGCAGATTTCACCGAACTTACCAACTGTCTTACCCACTCAAATAACTCCCCGTACACCTTTGAGATTGTTCCGTATACGAGTCTGTGCTGTTGTAAGTCCTGGGATATGTAGGGAATAACTTGACCATGGTTTGTGCGCATTCCTTCCTTCTCTAGCAGCCAAGGTTGAACGTCTGTTGGAGCGTTAAGGCCCTAAGTATTATATTAACAACAAAATACTGATAGTCCATGTGCGCTAGCTTACCGATGTACAATGGCGATTGTACCAAGAGAGGTGCATAGCCTGGAAAGGGTCTACCTCCAGGCAAGCGCGTATCCATATCTCCAAGCAAGTCTGCATTTCCGAGTGCAAGCCAGTAATTGACTTCCAGAGAAGCGCGTATTGGGTGGGAAGGTGCAGTAGATACAAACGCCATAAACGACCATCCTTGTTTTCGAAGATCTAGGGTGGTTGACTGACCAGAGTTTCAGTGTGCAAGAGCAGTGTGGGAGAGCCAGATACGTAACGTTGGCATGATCTGCATTGAGATTAGTAAGTATGCCCAGGTAATTTCTGACAGCCATTGCGATAGAAAGGTTTGAGCTGTTGACAAGATAAGTACAATTGGCATCGGAACTTGCACACCCACCTTGTTGCGTAAGTCTTCCAGGCTTTTCACCCTTTCACCCGCCTCTGCTCGTAACCTCTCCGCCGCACTCCAGCTAGTGTTCAGGACCTTGTCGCGAGGAGGCTTGAAGCACTTGTTCTTAGCTGATGGATCAACGCTGTGTCAATGACAACATGCGCGATCTCGTCCTCCTCGATGTCGGATAATGGTGGACTATAAGGACGACCTACACCATAGAGCTCACTGTGATTGACAGTGTGTAAAGGCAGCCTTTGAAGATCAGTTGGCACAGGCGCAATGCAAGCGCGCCAAACATGTCCACTTCTACGGAGTGGTGTGAATGCGCTAAAATTTGACTGTGTTAGTCAATAGATCGCATATGAATATGCCATATGCACTTTTGGATAATGGCATCAAAAAACCGATCAGATGCTGAGAAGTCTGTGCAGTCGATATCCTTTGAGATGGAGAATCTCTCGATCAAAGCGCGAGAGAACATTGAGGTCATACTGAAGGGATGGGAGAGTCGCATGCGTGCGATGGTGGGTACAATGCGTTCAAGAATCAGCTTTCTTTGAGGAGAATCTATACATACATGGTTAGTAGTCTGATCGCCCAAGACAAAAGGTCCGCTTACCCCTTGGAGGTGATCGTAGCATGTCTGCTAGATGTAAGTGCGTGGTTCCAACCATGGATGCGATGGACACTCTAAGACCAAGGCCTGCGATGAGTACTAAAGCATATATGGAGCCACCACATGCGATGGCAATGAACTTGCTACCAGTAGCATGCCACTCCAAAAAAGTGCGATAAGTGACCTTCGTCTCTGAAGGGCGGTCTTTGACTTCATTCTCATAAATCCCTTTCAGGTGTAAGCCTGTCTTGAGGCGGATGCTTTCAAAATGTGTCATTTAATCGAGCTAAGTGAAGATTCTAGATGGCGCACCTCTGACACTTACAAACAAGTGTCATGAAATTAATCATGATCATGAAATTGATACGAATGTCCTTGCCCATCATTCCTCTACACCTCACCACCAGTGATAACAAAGATTCATCGTCCACAGATGGGACTTGCACAAAATTCCCAATATCTTGCAGCCATCGAAGTGGATCGTGAATAGAAGAGAGACAATGTGCGGCTGCGAGCTCAGCAATGATTGCGGTAGCCTGATCGCTGCAAGAAATCCTAGGATCGTCTAAGGGACGTCGATGCCATGCACCTCATCGTTGAGTTTGAGGACCACTGACGGCTTGCTCTGAGTCACCAGCATCATGCTCATGCACTTCCCCCACTTCCTCCGCCCCCATCTGATCCCCCCACTTCCTCTCCATCTGCCTCCCATTCCTCTTCTTCCTCTCCGGGGCGCAAAACATCCTTCATAGCTAGAGCTCGAGCTCTACGTATTCATAACCGACGTGCACCGCGGTTACAATCGTCGGGATTAGCATTAGCAACACGTGGTAGATTGGGGTCAAACCCAGGCCCAGGGGGCTCCCCTCCTGCAGCAAGAGTACTTTGATGGATGTCGGTGGAGAAACATGTAT